AAATGGGGCAATGCTTTTCTCTGACTGCGACATTTAACAGAGTTGGTTGATTTCTACTTGGGTGCAATGCGCAGGTATGTAACTACTCTCTTATGCCCACCGGTAACCAATGGTGTTATCTTGGGAAAGTGGTTCCTATGACTAGCAACTGACTATATAAACCATTCAACCGGCCACGCAGATATAAGTCGCATGGCTGGCAAAGTCCCTATACCGGTGATCTTTTATCCCCTTGGTTAGGCACCCAGACCGCCATCTCCCAACACCCAAGGGAAGAAGGGGGGAGGGGACCGGAGTAAGCAGAGATTGGCTTTGAAGAAGTCTGAAATAAACCAGGGGATCCATCGAGATTATCTCTGCTAGACCAAACGGGGGGAGCGTTCAAGATCTTCTTTATCAAGATTCTTGCAAAAAAGTAGATCACGAACCTCAAGGGCCTCTCAGCCAAATTTCACAATAGCTCTTTCAATAACGCATATGGTATTGAGTCCCATTTTCTACCGCCATGGCATGTAAGAAGCTCCAGACTGGCCTCATCTCCAGAGAATGAAGGCCAGCCAGACTCGCAAGGCCGACATGATGGCTCAACATCAACTTATGTAGCCCAAGTATGGTAAAGAAAGCTAAATATCCATACTTTACGGAGTAGGCTTCGCATATCTGAACAGAACAAATGCACGGGCCTAATTTCTGAGGAAGCTTAAAGAGAAGCACCTCTCTGCGGAAGATTTGTTTTTTCTTTCTTTCTTTTTTTTTTTTTTTTCAACCTCTTACGTTCAATCTATTTCCCTGATGGCATAGATTGCGCTACTGCGAGAGGCCCACTGCCATCAAAGACATGACCATAGTGAACAGAGCCATTGTTGGAGTGGATATGTGTTTGCGCGCGCATACTGCGTTTTCTGCTCTATATATGCCTTAATTACTGTTTCTGATCCACTATATATATATATAAATAATAATGCGAGAGAAACTTTATCCCATTGAACCTCGTGAGTCTCTTGGCCATGTCTCCAGAGGACCCCCTGTATTGGTTTCCGGCGTACTCGAGGCACGGTTCGACCATTTCAGGATTCGCGCTTCATCATATGCTTCATCCGTCTTGACCACAGGAGAATTCCGAGCTTTCTGCCATTTTTCAACAAAATCACGGACGAACTTGTTGAACGGCGGCAGACAGGCACATATCAGTCCTATACCCCCTTCGGCATTGCTACACACTCAGAGGCTTAGCTTTGTTATGTAAAGTTGGGCAGGGAAACTAACTCTGTGAGGAGTATTTTCAGTATTACCGCAATCTGACCTGGTGTGTCTGACCCCAGGCTGACCAGTATCAGTCGATATAAACTAAACCCGATCGCGATACTTCCTGCCCCGAGGATAATAACCACACCTGCCTTCTTTGCAAAAGGCATCTGTAATGACCAGGATAATGCAAGAGGGAATATGAGAATTGCGAGGTCCGTGGCAACGCTTATACTGGAGTCCGCAATAATTATTGCGGGTCGGTTCAGGCATCGTTTTGAACTGGTTGCGTTTCGCCAATCTCGCCAATATGCATGTATAGGTGAGCATATGAAGATCTTGCCAAAAATATTAGCAATATAGTGCCATAGATGAGACGGTAAAGGCATAGACCAAATGCACTTTTCTGGATGTGGCTGGAAAATCCCGGATAATGAAGAGATAGTAGGGTGAAGCCTTGACAAACAAGGATCATAAGGAACGATAGAAAAATGCACAAAATATAAAACACCTACTACGCAAGTTAGACGGTGAAATAGGGGCAGCCGGTAGTCATACTTTGAATTTTGACTCCATTTGATCTGGCGTCATCGTGCCAGTTGTTACAACGGTACCATAGAGATATGTGACTGTGATTTTGAGAAAGGTTTAGTGGATAGTATCGTGCCATGCACATTGATGACTCACATGTTAATGAACAGGCACAGTGGCCCATATAGAAGAGCTATCTTTGCAATCAATACTTAATGGTGCATAAGAAGTTGGTGTATACCTACCCATGCAATAAAGCAGAGTACTGGAGGCTTGACTGTTAGAAGAATGTACCAGCTGACCATGCATATTGCACATACCATCTTCAATACCAAATCTTAATTTCAGCTTATACTTGGCAATATATCGCAGAGCAACAAAAAGGGTGATGATACAAATACACACAACCTGGGTTGCAAGACTAACGCCTTGAAGACTGTCGCGTTTCTGCAGTTTAGGCAACATGGCCCTCCTATAAATTAATCGAAAATCATGGCTACCATGTAGAGTGCTGAATACCAATATCTTACTTATATTCTGGGTACGCCACGGCTATGATGTCAACGATGTGTGGTATGGTTTTCATGTTGAGCACCGAGGTTGGAAATTTTTACGGTATGTTCCGTGGTGGCAATACCTTGATTGTCGTCCCAGGCAAAGTCTGCGGTCGAGAACTACCGTAGGGACAGTCGTATACTAATGAGACTATCCTCTGCAAATATGGTGGCCATTGTGAGAGAAGACTGACCAGTCGATAATCACCTTCCTTATTCGGATTAGCGTCACATACTCCCAACAACAGCCTGGAGCAGGCAATCAATCTATACGGAGTACCAATTATCTACTACCACTACCCTTTTTTATATGAATGGAACCTAAAATAAAATTGACCTCCTGCATGGGACAATCTTCCAGTTTCCTAAAATGCAGTCCTGCAACTCTTTCGAGGTTTAAGGGCGGCAAGGCGTTAGGTACTTCATAGCTTTCTTGAATTGTTCATAGCACTGTACTAAAAATCTCTCGTCAAGTGTGCATACAGCGGTGTCATTGTTGGTCGCCCCTGTGTCGCCCGTGGAAGACGGTGGGAGGCTACCAGCTGACTTGATCCACGGATGAGAGGTTGTACAATATACCGAAAGGAGAACTGAGATGTTGGGGCACCAGAAATACGAAGATTCAAGTCTGCTGTGTATTTCTGGCACAGGCCGTCAAGACCCCTTTTGATGCGACGAAGTGTGACCTACAATCCAGGAGTCGTAAAAATGACATTTAAGAGGAAGGCTCATCCAGGCCAGCAAATCATCCGCTTATGTGCAAATTCAATCATTCATTATTAAACATGTCTGAGCAGTAAGGGGCTAGCAAAGTGATTCCACCTCCATGCCAGATTAATCGTCATATCAATTACTCATTCCAGGACAATCATAGCCGCCATTACAGCGATTTCAATATAGCATCAATCAACGGCAGGAATGCACTGACGTCGCTAATGAGGGTCGAAGTCTCGTTTACAAACTTGGGCGTGAGGAGATTGTCGGCGTTATCAAGCAGCGAGGACAGCTCCTTGAAGGTGTCTGGTGTCAGCAATGTTGCAAGGTCCGGCATGATAGCATCCACGCCGGCTAGCAGTTCGCCCAGGGAGCTGACGGTCGACGGTGTAAGCAGGTCATCAGCATGGCTGACAACGTTGGATGTTTCATTGACGAATGCTGGGTTGAGCAATGTGGTTGCGTTGGTCAAGACGTATCCCAGCGAGTGGATGGTGGAGTTATGCAGTAATGTCTCATTGATAGCAGGGACAAGCGGGACGACGTCCGTCAGCAAGTCCTTCAATCCACCCACAATCCGTGGGGTAAGAAGAGAATCTGCGTCACTGACGAGGCTTGAAGTCTCCGAGACAAATGTTGGGGTGAGAAGATCGGTTGCGTTCGTGACCAGGTATCCCAGCGAATGGAGCATGGACGGCGTAAGCAATGTGTCCGTGAGGAGCGGGAGCAAGGGGACGACATCGTTGAGAATTTCCTTCAGCCCGCTCACCAGTCCGGGGGATAAGAGGTCATCAGCCTCGCTGATAAGGTTTGAAGTCTCTTTGACAAACTTAGCGGTCAATAGATTGTTGGCATTCGTCAAGAGGGAGTTAATGGCCGAAAGCGTGGACGGCGTAAGCAGCTTCTTGAGGTCTGGGATTAGAGGAGAGATGTCCACAAGAAGCGACTTCAACCCATCAACAACAGTGGGAGTCAATAGATCGCCAGCCTCGCTGATGAGTGCCGACGTCTCATTGACAAATTGAGGGGTCAGGAGGTTATTGGCGTTGCCCAGGAGCGATGTGATGGAGGAAAGCGTGGATGGCGTGAGCAGCTTCTTGAGGTCTGGGATTAAAGGAGAGATGTCTACCAGAAGCGACTTCAACCCATCAACAACAGCGGGAGTCAATAGATCACCAGCCTCGCTGATCAGTGCTGATGTCTCATTAACAAATTGGGGGGTAAGGAGGTTATTGGCGTTGCCCAGGAGCGATGTGATGGATGAAAGCGTGGACGGTGTGAGCAACTTCTTGAGCTCCGGGATGAGAGGCGAGATGTTAACCAGGAGCGACTTCAGTCCGTCCACGATAGCAGGGGTCAATAGTTCACCGGCCTCGCTGATCAGTGCCGACGTTTCTTTGACGAATTGTGGGGTGAGGAGGCTATTGGCATTGCCTAGGAGTGATGTGATGGATGAAATAGTAGACTTTGTGAGGAGGCCCTTCAGCTCGGGCATTATCGTCACCACATCGTTAAGAAGCTCCTTCAGACCATTAACAAGCGCAGGCGTCAATAGGCCGTCCGCTTCGCTAATAAGACTTGATGTTTGTTGCACAAACTGTGCTGTAAGCAGTTTGTTGGCATTGGTGAGGAGGTTCTCCAGGGCTGTAAAGGTAGCCGGCTTGAGGAAGGACTTGAGCTCAGGAAGCAGAGAGACCACACTGCCCAGCAGGCCTGTCAGTGTATCGACGATGGATGGGGACAAGAGGGCGCTGGCTTCCTCGATCAAACTGGAGGTTTGGTTCACGAAGCTGGATGTCAGGAGGCTGTTGGCGTTTGATATGAGGGTTTCAATTGCATCCACGTTATCACCTCCAAGGAGCTGACCAGCCTTTGAAATAAGAGGGCCGGCTTGATTGATCAGCTTGCCGGTGGTGGAGACGAAGCTTGGTGTCAGGAGATCGTTTGCATTATTAACCAGGCTCTTGATGGCTTTCGTATCGTCTGCAGTCAATAGCTCGCTGGCGTTGTCGATAAGGTTTTCCGCCTTTGAAACGAAGGAAGAAGTAAGAAGACCATTGGCATTGTCGATAAGGCTGTCCACCTTTGTGACGAATGACGGCGACAGGAGCTTGTTGGCATTCTTAATAAGGCCCATGATCTCATTGGTGTTCTCTTTAGTCAAAAGCTCGTTGGCATTATCGATCAAGTTGTCCACCTTGCTGACGAATGAGGAGCTCAGAAGGGTGTTCGCATTGGTCACGACCGTTCTGAGGTCGGTGTCCACCGGTGGAGCGAGGCCGGTGGACAGATACTTGAAGGTGCTCGTAACCTCATTGAGGAATCCGGGATCCAGTAGGTTCTTTATTCCCTGAAGTAGCTCCTCAAGGTCACCGAAAATGCCTCCAAGGCTCGCGGTGCTACTGCTACTGCTGCTGGACCCTGTGAGGGATGAGAGAAGACCTTCGAGGTCTGCCGAAAGACCCGAGGCTTCCCTACTGGCCGTTCCGGTGCTGGAGGGTGTCGCAGCAGGCGAGGATGCCTCCGTCTGTTGGGTTGTGGGAGCCTGGGTACCATCCACTGCGACAGTGGAGGCAGATCCGGCTGCAGGTGCAGATGTCTCAGGGCTGGGGCCAGTCGTAGCCGGTTGGGAGCCCTGCGCAGGGATGTGGTCGTTGGTAGACTCTTGCGGAGCAGCCGGGACAATGCTCGATGCAAGGGGCGCGTCGGCTGCCTCGGCTGCCGATGACCCTGCGGCGGTTGCAGGGGCGGCGGTGGTGGTAGGCTCTGCGATGCTCTGGGCCAGGGCGGCAATGGATTCTTCATCCGGGCCTTGCGAGCTTGCGAGTATAGTTGACGATGCCGGAGCTGGGGTAGGGCCAGCAATGGCCCCTACGACCAGTACGGACGTTGTGAGAACCGGCAAAAGACGCATCTTGATGAAGCTTCCTATCGACAGGATATCCTTGCCTTGGAATGAAGAGGCTTCTCAACGCGGCCTCGAAGTCCACGGGAGGGTGGAAGAGGAAGGGAAAGGGGAAATGAAGCTTGCATCAGTCGATCAGTGCTCCAGTCGATCCGGGGGAGCCCTTTATCTACTTCAACGCGGTTGAGGGGCGACGATCGTCGGTGTCCGTCCAGCTGTGTGGCCATCCAACCCTTACCTTGTTATGGGCTAAGCTTAAGCCCGGGTTGGATGTAGGCTCTGTTGATACCGAGGGAGTCCTGGGTAGATTTCTACCATGTGATGAGATTCCCACTTCTTGCGCCTTGTCCGTCAACAACACCCATTTGTTGCCCATCATCGAAGGGCATCAGTCATCGATTCATCTTGGCAGTGTAAAGATACTGGCTGCCCTCTTCGCGTCCCCATCCTTGCTGTTGTCAACTGCTTCCTGGTAAACATCATCATTCAGCGTCGAGTATGGTCACTTTGTGCTGCTCGCTGAAGGTGTGGGGGTCTCTCTTCCACGTCGCTTGAGCGCAGCTACTTAGCGACTGCGTGGGGAGGATGGAGCTAGTACTCCGTATGAGAAGTGGCTCGGCAGCAGGCGAAGAGATTTCCCCCCCGCAATCAGGTGGATGGGGAACCCAATTCCGCTGAAGTAAACATACGAGCAACGAACCAACACCATCGATGACCTGATTGAGTACCTGGCAGAAGGATGAGGGGTTCCTCTCGAAGAGGCAAGCGTTGCGACAAGGGTACATTCCTTGTCTCTTGCATTCCACGGCTGAATGCTGGAATCTGGATTGGACAGGATACGCCTCGTGAGCCAGCCGCCCACGTCACGGAAAGTGAGACATTGAAGCTCGCGATGCCGAGTTTCCTGATATCGGGAGTCGGAAGCGGGGGAAGTCGCAGTGTACCGGCCAACCCGCACAGGCTATCAGATTTTAGCGTGGTGTGCCTTACGGTTCTGGGTAAGGTGCAATATACGTTAATCTATCTGGCCTTGGCCTAGACTCTCGACGTCTCACCCTTGGCAAACGGATCTCGTTCTGTCCCACAACGCTCGGAAAACCAGAGCGGGGTTGGAGGTCCTCGGCGGACATCCGGCTTGGATGGTACAGGATGGCCTAGGAACACATGCTCTAAGCATTGAAGCTGTGCCTGAGCCTTCGTAGCTGCCTCTCTATCGGGTTCTGCACTGCGTCAATACGGTACAACAAGTCGAACCAGTTGCAATGGAAGCCAGAAGCCAAACCTGGATAAAGTCATTTGAAATTGTTAACCTCAGATGTCACACAGACGGGCGTAGTTTCATCTGTTGGGAATTTTGTTCTATCTCTGGAATCATGCCTTTGTGTATTTGTTGCGACGTAGTGATGCAAATGATGTTTCCCACAACATTCACCGCGCTGGCTATGATGACTCCTGCCAAGGTGTCTAGTAACGCCCTGGTAGCTAGGTAATTACTCCGAGTTGTGGACCGAACCATATCTACACTCTCTATCATAATATTGTTGTACGGGGTGGAGCGTTGGCTATGCGGATCGTCTTGTGTATTTATGCGTTTCAGATATGCCTTTGTCTTGTTATGGTGCACCCGGAACAGTTGATGGTTGTGGGGAGATATATATTTCCTGGCGCTATCACTCGCTGCTCACTATTTATGCTGTCAGCATCTTACTGTGTACGGCCTACCAGGCTTCTTATATTGAGCTTAGACCATTCCTTCTTTCGTCAACAAGGCGATTATATATACCCACAAGGAAGAACGCTCTGGGCTTTGGTCTCGATGCTCTGTGTTATGCTTTCTGTGGGTGTGAGTGCAATGAAAACCCCCACCATTACCTCTTGAATCATATTATTGCTATACTCCGTAGTCACCGAGGCTGGCGGAATATACCATATATAACCACCCAATTTCTGGTCATGGGTCACTTGTTTACATGCCGAGCCGACGGTACTATCCTCGGCCCGCTGTAGGTTGGGCTAGAAACATCGATAAGCTGTATATGCCTGGTTTTGTTCTTGTACCCCCAGTAGGCCTTTAAGTCAATGTACACATCAAGACCTGGCTTATATTATCCCTTCCTACTATCATATCTGCAGCATAGATGGCACAGGATCAGTGCAACTGACCTACGCCTAGGGCGCAAAGTCAACAGCAACGATGCGGAATAATGAATTCTCAGAATCATCCCTGGATGGGATGTTTCTCAGTTTATGGGTGATGAGCAAGTCCCTTGCTTGTGATTCACGCCGGCCCCTAAAGTAAAGTTACGATCACATACCTAGGTAGCTCCGATTTTAAAAGTTTATGGGGTGGGAAATGTCTTGCACATTCCAACCATGCCCTTTCTTAAACATACCTGTGTCGCCCCTTTCCGTGGCCCACGAGCACGCAATAATTCGTCTAAGAGTATCCTTCATTGAGCGGTGAAATCCACGGTAAACTTGCCTGTTTCACTTCTGGTGCAATTGAAGCCATTTTTAAATAGTGAATGGCTCGCAGAGTGTACTGACCAGCCAACCGTATGCATTAAAGAACAGTTCCATCGCAAGTAATACTATAAATGATGTTAATATATGGACTTGTCGTACTCAGTTTATATCAGGAAAAAGCAAATTTACATGCTGAAGCTCCAGGCTCTTCATACTAGCCAGATTCCCCATCTGCAGATGGTTCTACAAAGCAAATTCTAGCGATGCTAGAGCGCGAGACTCCCTATAAAGGCAAAACAGATCCCACTAAATCCTGGAGTCTCACTTGGAATTGACTCAAGGGGTTTCAGGCCTTTGGCTTCGGAGGCGCGCAGACTGTTTCGACTGATAGTTGATCTTTGATCGCATTGTCCTGGAAAGGAATGTGCTTTGCGCCGCGCGAATTGGGCAGATCGTACTTGAAACGATAAGAGAACCTGACTGATGCATGACGCCTAGCCGGGAAATATGTGGAGAAAAAAGCAGCAACTGGGGAATTTCCAGATTACAATGTGTACCTGAAGCCCTCCAGGCTTCCAATCACTATCTCCCCACGGCTTGCCCGACGGTTCCGCGAGTGCAGGCGTATAGAAAGGAGCACGACCAGTACTATTATTAAGCCGGTCAAACCAATGCAAGTACAGATCCCCGGTTGGTACGTCGGGGCATCCTGCTCTCGAAAGACCAGTGAACCTGTCATTCCGCCAGAGGCTCCTAGGCCAACGAATATCGCACTGCAAATAGCCCGTTTCCATTGTCCCCGGACATTGTTTGCCTGGGCCTGAATTAGCAGATTTTCGAAGAAGTAGACCAGCGGCATCTAACTTGGTATGCCATTGCGGCAGGGACGTTGGAGTTTGCGCCCATAGTAGTGAGAAAACAGCCCACTAATCGTGGTCCATTTTCTTTGGCAAAGCCCTGTATTTGTTAGTTGTTTGTCCTGTACATCACCCACGCAAGAGGAGAAGGGACGGACGATGTGGCTTACCATCAGTGGTAACCCAATCAAGGTCAGGACTGCGTTGAAGACCAAGATCGGGCCTCGGATGCGGCATCGATCTCCGATATAGGACGTGACGAACATGATTATTCCCGCCGCAGCGTACGGTGGTGCAAATAAACAGAGAGAAACCCCCATGGAGAACCCCATGCCTTCGCGATAGATCAAGGGTAGGAAATATGAGATTGCATATGCGGTGGTAGTTGTGGAAAAGTATATGAATCCGAAGGCCCATATGTTTAGATCGAGACCTGCTGCGAGATATTGCCGCCAATTGAAGGGCTCGACAACTGTATCTGAGCGGTCCCTTTCAATCCGCTGCAGGATCAGATCATATTCCCTTGGTTCAAGAAATTTGCGTTTGCTATTCTTCATTTTGTCCGGAAAGTCGACAAGGACAAAACCACCAATAGTAGCTATGACGCAGGTGATCAAGCCTTGAATAACAAAAATCCACCTCCAAGATCCAAGACCTCCAAGCCCACCCTATGATAGTGAGACAGTGTACGAAACACAGGGTAGATGATATGATATTTGACTTACCATGTGGGAGATTCCATAGCTCAGGATGCCAGTGAAAGCTGCAGCTACGCATCCAAGAAGGTAAAATACAGCGTATCTCTTCTGGATCTCGTACCGGGTATACCAGGTCCCGATGAGGTATACCGATGCTGGGAAAAACCCGGCTTCCAGAGCTCCGATGATAATTCTAATTCCTACCATCTGTGTCCAGTTCCTCACGAACCCTGCGGATAGCTGCGACTGTGTTAGTCCCGGGTCGTCTCATATCCCCAACATAGGGAGATGTGCGCACCATGACGACTCCCCAAATGAAGCAAACGCCAGTGAGGTATGGGATGGGGCCGATGGTTCGAATTAACACCGGTCCAAGGGGCTGCAGAACTATGTATGGTGGAAAGAAGACGACGGCGATAGTGCTCTATCAAGTACGAAAGGTCAGTGAGACAATGCAAATTATATGATTTGTTCGCTCACGTATTGTGTTCCGACCAAGTGTAGCTCCTCCTTCATTCCTGAAACAGCAGCCGTTCCCAAGTTTCCACGATCGATTAGAGCAACTGTATGGAGGAATCCAAGCATCACGATAAGTCGTCTATCGATGCGACGAACAATGCTGCATTGTTCCTCAGGGGTGAACTCATCAACCTGCTCAACATGTTTGACATGGTAGTCTTTTGTTGAGCCTTGGCCTAAGGACAACCTCTCATCATAGGCGGGCATCATGGCTGAAGTTTGACAATATCAGGTAGGCCGTGGAGTCTGCTTGGGGACACTTAATCTCCAGGATAATGAGGAGTAATAAAGAAAGTTACATATTTCATGTTTGGCCACATGTATATTGAGGGTTGGTGAGGTTGTGGGGGAACATATGACCGCATCGAAGCGGATTTCGGCGTTAACCATTTCTTAGATCATGGCCCGACTGGAGGAAGATCGGCAGTTCTCCCAAGTTCGCTCAACAATGCAAAGAGCTGTCTGAACATATCAATTGCCGCGTACGTCTATTCGTCGTCGGTCGTTGGGGCTATGATCGACGGCCGATGAATCCGCGGGGGTTGGCCAAATCCCCTATCGCCGATATCCGACGCAATGGCTCTGATGTAGGGAGAATCATAGTGTTTCCGGCGGATATAAAGCCAAGATCAGGTGGCAGACTAGATCGCCAGGCAGAGTTTTCAAGCATCAAGTTGGATTGTTAATTGATTGATAAAAACAGAAAGTGCCGTACAGCCGACTCTGCAACATGGCCCCGAGAATTTCTTCGTCCGGATCTCTCGACAGTTTCAATCCTGTCATGGTGACTCCTGTTATAGGGAATGAATTCCCTAAAGGGTCGTGCAACATCATGAACGATATTCTCCAGCACCCTGATGCTGAACAACGCATCCGTGATTTAGCTGTGATGGGTAAATCCCTTTATAACTCCGTTATATGTCATAAACTAATTCAGAATAGTCGCAGAAAGGGGTGTTGTCTTTTTTAGGGCACAGGATAACCTGACAAACGAGGCGCAGAAAACCATCATCAGCCTCATGGGTTCCCTCACCACCAGGCCCAAGAGTCACAGTCTGCATATCCATCCAGTCACCAATGACAGACGCGAATTCGGTGACCCGGATCCTCAGATCAGTACGATTGATTCCGAAGGCCGCAAAAAACTCTACAAGGGATCAGACTATACTCGAATGGCCGCAGTGTGGCATAGTGATATTGCTTTTGAGAGGGCACCGGCGGACTTCTCATCCTTGAGGCTTACACAGCTTCCTAAAACGGGTGGGGATACGCTCTGGGCAAGTGGATACGAAATTTATGATCGACTGAGTAGACCGTATCAAGGGTTTGTCGAGGGGCTTACGGCAACCTTTGTTGGTGAGGGCTTCAAGCGTATCGCGCAGTCTGGCAGGTTTGAAATGTACACAGGCGAAAGAGGCGCTCCTGTCAATGTCGGATCCGAACTGGAGGCCATACATCCGGTTTGTTGCCATTTCGTACCATATGTATCACCAATCCTGGAGAGCAGGAAGTGACTGACAGAGACCGAGGTCGTCCGGACGAACCCGATTACCGGGTGGAAATCGATATTTCCAGTTGGTACGGTACCAGATGTCCTCTGATGAAGATTTACTAAGATGTCATTTCCAGGCTCGTTCGCCAGTCATATCAATGAGCTTAACCGGAAAGAAAGTTCAAAGATGCTTCAGCATTTCCACGACCTCATCACCTATGGCCACGATTTACAGGTCCGGTTCAAGTGGAATCAGCCTAATGATATAGGTGTGCCGTCCCTTCATATATCTCCCTAAATTCCACAGATGCTAATAGATTCATTTAGCCATCTGGGATAATAGGAGCGTTTTTCACACAGCCACGAGTGATCATGAAGGATTTGGTCTGCGTAGTGGGAACCGGGCAGTGGGCGTTGGTGAAATCCCTTACTTTGACCCTCAAAGCAAATCAAGACGTGAGGACTTGGGTATCATGGACAAGCTCCCAGCTGCCCATCTATAGTGTTCAAGAGTTTGGTGATGATTGAGCCACTGAGAGCCTTAAATGGAGATCACCATGGAGGTAAATTATCAAGCTGCAGATTAAAGTCGAGGTCTTCTGCAAACATATTGAACATCTCCCCTTCAAACAAAGGACTCGGCCCTTCACTCCCATCCTGCAGTTCTTGTGGATTGGGCAGGCCTAAATTATATGACTCAACAAATGGCGTACTCGCATCCAATAGAGCTGCCCATTGGTCTGCACAACTAGGGTATTGCGGTCCCATCGAAGTTTCGGAAGAATTTGGGAGGTCAAACTCCCTGGCGGAGGGCAGACTTTTGCGTGATACTACCGCTTTGTGGACGCAGTCCGTAGTTTTGTCAATAATTATATCAAGATTATCGCGGTATTGTTTCAAGGCCGGGTTGTGTTCAGCCATTGTGGACATCGCGGAAGAACAGGCCCGAAGGTCATTTGATGCAATAGCACTCCATAAATCGGGCGAACGAAGAAGGCAGAAACTGTTCGACAGCGCTCTGTTAGCATCTCCTCAAATCCAAACGAACTTCCGACAAGTACAGACCACATAGTAAGCCCGGCAACGAACATGGAGTTGGCAAGAAGGAACGAATATCCAAAGTCTGATTGTCGCAGCCTCCGAAATGACTGGCACATCTCGCCCGAAGCGGATAGGCATGTCTGGAGTAGCGGGTCACTCGGGGACAAGATCCGAAGAAAAGGTTGCAATAGAACCCTGATACAGTTGTTCCAATGCATTTGCACGAACTCGCGATCATCCGGAGGTAACAACGGCAGCCTTTCCCTGTATTGATTCAGCGACGCCATAAATGGAGCTATCTCGGGTATGAGGGCCGACATGTCTTCATTGGCGCGATATATGTGTTGCTTCATCACAGACGTAATGCGTTGTAGCTGTATACAGGCGACGAATCGCCGCAATTCTCGATTGACTGAAGCCACGGAGGGCGTACAGATGTCGCAGACCGCGTGATCGGCAGAGCTCTCTCCGAGGGCTATTAGTTCCGTTTCATCATCCAGCGTTGCAATATCACTTTCGAGCTCGATGGGAGTTTCCGCCTCGATTTCCGACTCGCTAATACTAAAAGGTCGACCGGTCGACCAACAGAAGTATCTCTCCACCAGATAGATGCTCCAGAATAAACGTAGCCGCAGCTGTGCCTCATTTGGTCCGATTTGCTGATAATGATACTTGCAATGCAGTCCGGTGTCGGTACAAATGCGCATGGCTTGTCCCAGCCAGTGCCAAATCTTCGAGCTAGAAGACGACCGCAGATTGTAGACGATCAACAACATCAGCATCTCTGCCCTGTCACGCCAGCCAGACCCAGTCAAGGCAGACTCAAATCGTAGAGCCATCCTGCCAAATACCTCTGGTGCAGTGTTTATGTCGGCTCCTGTCATGCGAAGAATGCTGGATCCAGTTGCGTAGACAAGGAATAGTTTGAAAGAGCCCACACAGTCCTTCGAAGCTGGGGCCACCAGATCGTGCCTCGATCGATGCAGCCTCAGAATCTCCTTACGCCTCATGAATGGCAGACGTATATGTATGTGTTTAAAGTAAGCATGGAGAATTTTGCATCCTTCAACTTCATCGGGGGGTGCTATAGGCTTCCACCGATCGTCGCCATATTGTTCCTCAGTATTTGATCGATAGCTTGTGTATACAGGGATCGAATTTGCCCAAAACACATCGTGCAATTCCCGACTTATGTTTTCAGCCATTGCGAGGCCTGATGAGAGGCCCAGGTATGGAGGGCCATCGGCGGGTTGATGAACAGAATCTGATGAAGCTACGCCGCGGATTTTGTGCAGGTCGTTATCCTGTGGCTCAGTCCTCTGGGTTTCGCGTGGACTTTGACTTGTTTCACATGCGCCATGATTTGGTTCTTGTCGTGCACATGATAGTTGTGCCTCCAGATGCTCGATTCGGCGGACAAGAGAGTCCTTAGACATGGCATGGTGCCACGAGGGCACCGTTTCTGATCGGGAACATGGCAATTTGGCGACTTCACAGTTGGAACAGGTAGGATAGCCAACACAGCGCTGCTTACGCCGATGGCAACGTCGACAGGATGTAGGAAGCCGCTTGCGGATTCTCCCTGAATCACTCATGGTCATGTTTATGGGACAAGTTTAGGAGTCACGGCGACAGATTGAGAGATAGTCTCCAGAGAAACACGTAGCCGAGGTCGAAGAACCCCGTCGTCAATCTTCTTCAAGCACGCCATGATTCTTGGACTGGTCTTGTCCAGTCATCGATGAATGTCGCCATCGAGGAGTGCGGGGTAGGAGAGGAGACTAAGTTGACGTGAACGTTCGTCTGTGCTGGTTCGAGCAGTTGGATTGCGTCGAGAAAGCCATGATGAGATAATCATGAGCCTACCAATGATCGGTATAGGCCAGTAGGATGCAGCTTGTGGTTTGTGATAGATGTGGTGACAAAATATATAAATGCTGTCGACGAGGTGTATTATTCACTTGGTATACCCTTTAACTGATATGACTTGGATAATTAGCTGTGTCTGCCTTATAGATATATGATACAATCTTCCCTCTAGAGTGTCTCTCCATGTGGTCATTGAAGTGTCTTGTCTGATCGAGGGCCGTATGTCTACAGTATGTCCATCTACCTCATTTCCACCAACCAAGGGCGGTGGCAGAATCATGACTAGATTATTTCGGACTAGCTCAACTGCAACCACAATACATATGCCCCTTTATTTCTACCGCGTCAACATACCACTGACTCTCAGGGCCGTCACGCCCTATTCTAGGGATACTCCGGAGTTACCCCGTCGGTTGTTCCAGCATCAAAAAAGAGGAGACAAACGGCGTTACTAAGTATATCCCTTCTAGGCCTCTTCAGGCTTAGTTCCGATGATTGGGGCCCCATTCCGCGGGCTGTAACTGGCTCGCCCAAGATTGCAGTGTGTCTAATCCTACGCATGGCGCCTATAATTGGCGGTGGCGGCAAAAACTGTTTCAGCCAGGGGAATAGCTAAACAATTTTAATCAAAACACTCAGTGTATTCGAGGTGTTGTCTCATTCTCCTGTTCATCTCAGTCCAGTCCAGTCCCGGGTGGTACTAGCGTTACTCTGTTTCTCGACCGCAATCCCTTTTTTCCCCCAAAACCCACCCCTTTCCGCCCCTGTTTCTCACAGTCTCCCCTAATAATAATGAAGAGTTGTTCATCGTGACTCTAGGTATATCTCTGCTGCTTGGGGTGGCCTGACTCCCGTGTATCTCATCCCCGGCAAGACAAGACCTCATTTCCTGACACCGCCAGCCATGGTGCCCTCTCAACTGTGGGTTCGCGATTGCGATTCCAATTCCCCCGATTCGTCTGGCTGTGAGAAGCCCGTGAGCAACTTCCTCAAGAGTGGAGTGCCTGGCATCGTTGTTGGCGTGTATGTTCCCTGGCCTGCCATTTGTTGTGATTCTATGAAGCATCGGAACTGACACTACCTTGTCTATGACTTAGGTTGGTTCTCATTGCGATTGGCGTCTGCTGCTACTTCCTCTATCGCAATAAGAAGCGCGATGCCCGTGAAGCGCGAGTTGATCGAGTCTGGAACGATTGACCGACCAGCGACCCTGTTCTCTATCCTACCGCCGAACGACAATCCATATAGCGACCTCAATCGCACTTGCGGCTACTGCAGGATGGCCTTGGGTCATGCACATTGCCGGGCCGACGCGATCTTCAACAATGAGGACAAGAGGCAGACCGCCGGGGCGAGCGTCCTCCACCCTACATAATTTTGATTTCTCAGTGCTTATCGGCTCCGGGTGAGCGGCATCCGCTGGTTCGGATGGAATGTACAGTAATCTCATGGGTATATGTGCAGACAGGGAGGGCAATATGTATGTTTACGAATGCATTGGCTGATATGTAGATGTTCCTCATAATTCCTCCCGACGGGTGTATATACATTCAAACAAGGGCGGTTGATCGTTCCCTGGATCCGGTCTGACGATGGATTACACCTTGCACGACGCTGCATCGCTGCTCTATTTTTTTTTTTTTTTTTTTTTTTTTTTGCTTGTCGTCTTGTGCGAGTTCCATCAACATCAGAGATCGCCACGTTATAGAAGACGGACTAGCAAGTGTACGCTTTCTATCCACGACCTGCGATTCCCCACGATCCATTGGTAGATGCCAGAGATGGACCTTGACCGTCGATTTAGCAAGCGACCACCAGAATATCCCAGTTTGGCATCGTCAACGCTGTTAAACCTATAGACGTGCAGAGAGCTTTCCATTTTTCCTCGCAGTATATGCAGCAATCGTGTCCATCAAAGGTGGCGAGAGCGAATCGTATGTTTCCAAGCCCACGGCCTTGAACCTCGACCGAACTGTCTCCATCTTGCTTGGGTCGAACCCCTGTTCGATGATCGACGAAACGAAGCCGGCAAACTGGGGCTCCTGCCAGCCTCGCGTGTCGGACAATTCCACATGAACAAAATCAAGGCCCTTGAAGGGGTGTTCGGTCTCGATGCGGCCGAACATATGGACACCGCATTGCCGGCAGGCGTTTCGTTGGATGACAGCATTCTTGTCCACGACATGGAGCTTGTCCCCGTTGGCGGTCACAGAAAGATTCTCTCTGGGGACGACGCCAACCACCGAGAAGAGGGCCCCTGTCGGCTTCCAGCACTTGGAGCACCCGCATGCATGGTTATGGGCCACGTTGCTTTTCAGAGTGACTGTGACCTTGTTCTGTGGGCATTTGCAGTACAGATTGCCGCCCGCAAAGTTTGGGTCGCCAGGTGTGATGCCGTTGTCAATTAATGGATGGAGAATGGGGTTCATGGCTGATTTCGAGGGAGGCTATTGCTTTGCCAAGTGACCAGGGGGAGATGATAAAAGACGGTAAGTAGAGGGCTTGCAGCATGTATTGCGAAACTCTGAACAAGAGGGTCTATCTACTATATAGTCAAAACAGTGAGATATACTCCACAGTCCCCTCATGAGGGGTCATTAGTTAGATCCGTGTCCGGCAGGTCATTAGTATTCGAGATAATTCCCAAGGAGTGACGTGGAAGCTGGACGTGATTGGAGTTGTTGGCGGGGATATGGACGCGACACTTCGGCCCACAGAACCAACTAGGTAATGTGATCCGGCTTCTGTAATCTCACAGGTATCACCATCTCCATGGTGTACAAAGTCTGGTCTTAAGCTGCCGAACCAAACAGGTACGTACAAGAGGAGAACTTAGGTACCCTATCGTCCATTTATGTATTTCTGGATTGTGAATGTTTTGACTTTTCGTCCATCGTGCACTATAGACCCATGATCTCGTTCTATGACAAAGTGCTCAGATCGTACCTATGTAGTGGTTGATATTATCCAATGATCCCCAAACCCTCTACCTCTGGGTGTCCACGACGCACCGAATACAACCCCCTTCTCTCATACGACCAAATGCCGTATTGATGTTGCTAAGGGTTTCTCGGTGGGTGATGAACTCATCAACCTTCAGATCACCACGGAGATAGTCGTCAACCAAACTTGGCAGTTGAGAGCGGCCCTTGATGCCTCCAAAGGCGCAGCCCCGCCATGAACGACCAGTAACTAACTGGAATGCTAATCTGTAGTCAGTAGACCATCACGTATAAGCTAGGAAAAAGAAGAATATCTCACGTCTTGTTGAAATTTCCTGACCAGCCGCTGCAACACCGATGATTATACTCTCACCCCAGCCTTTATGGCAGGCCTCAAGGGCTGCCCGCATAACGGAAACGTTGCCAGTACAGTCAAACGTATAGTCACATCCTCCATCTGTCATCTCGATTAGAGTGTCCTGTGTGTTGAACCGGGTCAACTTGGCGGGGTTGACAAAATGCGTAGCTCCGAACTTGTATGCCCATTCCTCCTTCTCGTCATTTAAGTCGATAGCAATAATCATGCTAGCTTGGTTCTTAACAGCACCTTGAATAACTGATAAGCCAACACACCCGACACCAAAAACTGCAATCTTAGAGCCGCGTTCAATCTTCGCAGTCGCGGTAACAGCGCCATATCCCGTGGTGATTCCACAGCCTAGTAAGCAGGATCGATCTGTGGGACATTTCGGAGTTACCGACACCACCGAGATGTCGGCCACGACTGTATATTGCGAAAATGTGGACGTCCCCATGAAATGTAGGAGGTCCTTCCCCCTAGCTCGGAAGCGCGTAGTGCCATCTGGCATCACACCTCGACCCTGGGTAGCGCGAATGCGTCCACACAGATTGGTTTTTCCAGACCGACAAAATTTGCACTCTTGGCATTCCGGGGTACTGTGGATTGTTAGGATATCTGCAGGCATGGGAACGATGGGTTCTTACTATAACGCAATTACGTGGTCACCAACACTTACGTTGGTAACACCCAGTCCCACTGACTCGACGATGCCCGCTCCCTCATGTCCTAGAATGACGGGAAAGGCACCCTCAGGATCTTTCCCCGAGAGTGTATACGCATCTGCAACGGTTACCACCCGCCAACTTCACTCCGATTGATCGTAGACGCCGGGTAATGTCACCTGTGTGGCATACTCCGGTATGGAGTATCTTGATACGCACTTCGTGGGCTTTTGGTGGCGCAACCTGTACATCCTCAACCGACAGAGGCTCGCCAGCTGCCCATGCAATCGCAGCCTGCTCAGTGGTCAGGGTTGTGCATGTTCGTAACAGAAGTTCCTGCTACTTCGCCGGCTTACCTTGCATGTGATGGTCTATAGCGTGTCAGTGTAATGTTAACACATATAATGAAGGGCTGAGCATATTGCAAAGGCATTTAGTACTCTCCGGCGAGCTTTCATTACTTACCTTTCCTGCAGTGTTGTTCATACTGGTGGCAAGGATCCGTTAAGGAAGATAGACCAAATGTCGAAGACTTCAATCCGATTTCTTCATACCCCCAATGGCTATATATTCCAGTGCGCAGCGTCATGCGGGGAAATAATTGAAATTTCGCGGTGAGGGGATGGATTGTCGACATCCCCGCATTCGAGATTCCACCACCACCCTGGCTACTTCTATTGACCAGGAACATCAATGCGGAGTAAATTCTGTATGCTCGATGGGATAGCTCTTCGTACCCAATAATGTGCCGCAGAGGACGTGGGAATCATTTACCAGATTGGGAAATCTTATCCGGCATGGTGGGTAAGCGGAATTATATAAAGCATAATGTATAACCTCGCACTGTGCTGTCGAAAATTGTCAGCGACAAGGACCAATGGGTTAATGTCTGAAGTGATCTCACCAGTAACACTAGATATAGTGGTAGATCTCAGCTGGCGATTACAAAGTATGGTTTGAGTGCATTAGTGGAAGAAGCTCCATATATGACTCTCAAAGGTGCTGCATCACCTCTGTCAGGTACGAGAGGTAAGTCGAATGGCCAAACAAAAGCTGAACAACATCAACATACTAGCAGGCCGCATTGCATCTTCTCCGGTACCTAGTCCTATTATCGACTCTGAACCGTAGCCTACGCTGGCTTTTCCTAATCTACTTGGTTGCGATAGAAGGAAATGCATATTCTATCACGGAGAGACAAAAAAATCATTCATATATTATCCCCAGACAAAGGCGACCATCGTCAAAGAGCGCATACGAAATAGGTCGGCATAATGGACCGCCTATAGAGACAAATCAATCGTGTATCATGAAAAGCCGATGGGTAGCAAATATCAACCGCCCAAAACAAATGAAATATGTATATGGAAAGAATGAGTCGATCAGAGAGGAAAATTTTAAAGAAGGGTCAGTGGCAGGGAATCATGGACATTATCAGGGTTAGCGTCAGTCATCATGGAGAGATGCACATTATTGAATCCAAATCATAATGTACAAGGAAGACGTGCATGAGAAGGTTGGGTGTCTTATGCCTCGGGAAATGCTCTTTGGTAGGCACACTCGATCTCGTCTAAGTAATCTGTTAGTATGGAAGCCCATTTAAGTGATGAATGACGATGACGGACCTCGAATGCCCCGCAAGGCTTCAAAAGCAATGGCGTGTTTTGCCATAGTTGCAATGATACACTGAAGGCCCCTCTTGAGCTGCTCAACAAGCTGATCTGATGCAGCCATACTGCTGCAGGTCCCGGGATCTAGTTCGGGATATGCCCTTTGGGCCATTCGCGCCTTGTAGCATATTGTCGACATTATGTAACTTCCCTGGGCCAGGCAAGATGCGAAAGATGGTATAGCCAACGGGAAATGGAGCAACGAAGGATCATTTGCAGACGCGTAAAATGGATGTTGGCTGGGAAGAATCTGCACCATGTGCGACATAGCGAGGGCTGCGTGAAGACACACCTTGGCAGAGTGTTTAACGCTAAAAGGCAGCTCAGTCTGTATGTTCGGCATTGGCGCCGTTGAGTAATCTTGGTAGGTTGATGAGAACGACCACGAGCTGCTGACGGGGGAGGAGGCCTGGGATTGTGTCATATCCCCTGGGTAGTAGTCCACATCCCATAAAGAATCGCCTGACAGCGATGTAGTGCCCATACCTCCCTGGCCGAAGCATACTGAATGATCGTATGGCCGTCGACTAAATATCGAACTGTCTAGGAAAGCCTGTGACTGATGGACCTTTATCTGAGCACTGATTCGCAGCGGTCAGCAGTTGATACAAATTGCTCATATATAGTGTATCAGTCTCACCTGAAAAGTTTGATCCTGGAGATGGCGCGTATACTCATAGCTGTGGCACACTCCGACCAATCATCAACGTCAAAGGAGGGAGAGATAACTGGAAGCAGCTGAGACTGAGCGAGCATGGTATTGATAGTCTCATCAAGGCCCTTCATTCGATGGTATATGTAAGGCATGTTCGTTCCTGTACTTAGACAGCGCGTCAAGTCCAAGGTGAACTGGTCGGCCAGCGCCAGTGCTTGTTGTGCCTGGATGAGGATACTCCATCCCTACAGTATGTAAGCTCCTCCGTCGGAGGGTGATTTGACAAACGGAATAGGCTTACGTCTGTATCAGCCGAGAACTGCGGGTAGGGTGTGACAAAGTCCGAATCGTTGACGACGATTGAAGGCGACTATCTCACATGTGAGTATAGGGAATGGTCACTCGCGTGCTTGAGTACTCACGCTCTCGCTGACAATGGACCCTTGTAGAACACAGTAGTACTGTTTTTTGCGAGATTAGCATCGTTATCCCGAATGTAAATATTTCGGCCCTTACTGTCATCCACCATGCCCGTCGCTGTGCCTCTGCGAACTCAGTGTTCTCCTCTCCCAAAGAATGGATGCCCATGTCCAGGGCCATTGTCAATGCTTGGCCGGCGCGGTATCTCATTTTAGTCAAGTTACCACGCTGAGTGTATTCGTAAATGGATAGAACAAGGAGCGCCAGTATCTTTTCCAAATCAATCGGCACATAAGCGTGGAAGGGTTCACGTGTTGTAAGGGGTGATCTGCTCAGAGTATCTCGTTCACAATCTGCCTCGATGTTAAGATTGGCCATCTGCGCAAATGTATGCGAATACGTTCGACGCAAAGCTATAGACTCTTCGGAGGACGGGTCTGAATCCTCTGGATGTGGAACAAGTGCCAGGATGGAGGAGATGGCTAAGCTCAGAGGAGAACGGGGTCGGTATGGTGGCTCGAATGAAGTACCATGCACAAAAGCATTTCTTGGAAAGGGACAGTCTGAGGTTGAACAGGTCATTCGTTGTGGCAGGATGGGAAAGTAGGGGTGGATAAATCTGTAGTAGGCATCAAGGCTTCAAGAGACATGGTTAGTGGTGGTTTTCATGTACATCATGACCAAGCACCCACATCTCTGTTTCACTGCCGTATATTCGCACAGGAGCTCCCATGGGGATTGTTTCTGGGAGTCCCGAGGAGTGATATACGCTCACTTCTCTACCGCGTACATCGTAGGGGCCCACGAGGCCCGCAAACATCGTTTGCAAATCTGTCCCGAAAGGGATACTTCCGGTTGCGATGCATCTATCTACCGTAAAGTATTCTCCTGTTGGTCCCTATGGATTAGCTACACAAACTCGAGGGTGCAGGTGGTATCCAAGAAAAGAATAATCGTGCAAGATAACATACGTTCATCGAGGGTAGCGGAAGACATCTGAAGAGACCTCCCATCTGGGGCACGTTTTTTGGGAATAGTAGACAAGTTCGACTTTCTTGCTCTCCCGCGTTTACTGGGAAGATAAGAGCACTTCTTCCCTTTATTCGCACACTGGAAGGAAATGTGGATTAGCATCTAGTTGGCGTGGACTCAGGGGAACCAACACCGATTGACAATGTCCGGACGCGGTGAGCTGGGAGAAAGGAGAAAAAAGCAGCAGAGGCAGCATACATTAGAGCAGGGCTCCTGCCCGTCACAACGAACTCGTGATGCACGACTGTCGGTTGGGAAAGAACATCAGCTCATACTGCAGCTGGCCAAACCACATCGAATCTAAACGTACCAGGAGAGACAAGCTAACTTGACAGGCGGTTTGCTAAACTTCTTGCGAACTGTAGTCCGCTTTGATGCCCTGAACTGTGATAACATGGGTGTGATTGTTGGGGCCTCATCGTAGGGCGAGCAGCAGTGCTGGGCCATGGTCATATAGAGGGAAAAAGGTGAAGAGAGTAGAAACAATGGCAGACCAAACAAGCAAGAAGCATGACACGGGAAAGCGGTCGATGGTCCACTGGCATTCAAGTGCTCTATAGGGATGTGGCGACGGATTTATATCTAACACGGGCAGTGGGGGGCACTGCGGTGCCTATTGTGTGTGGATTCATGTCGGGGCCGGCACGCCCGAGTTCACCCCCTCCCCTCGTTGTGACGAGCACTACACACACGGATACAAGGTTTCCTCTTTTGGCCGAACGGCTTACTGTTCGGGGAATAACCTAAATGTCTTTTAGGGTATAGCTTGTCTCGGCTGGTGAACTTGTGGAGCCAACTATATTATCAAGGGCCAGACGATTGACATGACCAGCAAGGGACACTATCCATAAGAGCTGAGATAATAATGGATCATTCCGGACCACCGTTTGCACCTCCCAAAATGGATTGGTGTCCGGGAAGACATCGGCGACAAGATGAATCCTGGCGAGGTACAGTCGGCATGGGCGATGATAAGAAGCTAATGGCCCAGCTCCATCGATAGTCTGGAAGGGCCTACCTGTTGGCACCACTACTGGGATCTGGAATTGGCCCCCCAGGGCCGATGAAATATGGATACTAATGGGTCTTGGAGAGTGATGGCCAAGTCGTACCTAGTGGTAAGAGCGGGATTGATGGAGAGAGTCTTAAAAACGGCTGCCATCTACTTTAGCCACGCGCTCGCATGGTTAGTATGTAGACGACAACGATGCGGATGAGGAAGTTCCCGTCCGGTAATTGTCACAGTTACTATTTTTGTCATTTTTACACTCGAGGAAAGGGAGAGAAAATGCTCTTTTCCCCTGCCATAAAGTACGATGGGTCATCGGCAATCCAGAGTTGGCGATGGCGTTCCTGGTGCCTAGGAGGACATTTCGATTGTCCACTAGCCCATTACACCTGCGACCGAAACAAAGGTGGTCTTTTTACACTAGTTAAACTCTGCTGATTGCCTATGTGTACTTGTTATAGTATGGAATCCAACATTTTCCGGACGTCTTGGACATCCTCCTGTGATTTTGCTACCTGGGGCTCCGGTAAACTTCAACCCCAATCCAAGAACAGGTTCTGGCTGGCTCTGCGCTTTTTCTCCTTCCTCTTTTGATCTGCACAATGGATCGTGGGAATACCACGAAAATCAGCACGTCAAACTAGCGGGGTGGTGGAGGCGGGCTAATCAACCTTGCCTGGGCCGGTCATGCCATCAGCCCGCCACGGGCGTGCTGGTGCTTTTAGATCCTGGACGACGACTGACAGGATCGACAGATCTAAAAGCGATCAACTTGGACTGAGTCGTGGAAGGAAATGCCGACCCGGCGTCTCTTACCAAGATGAGCCTAGGACCTGAGGCACGGAGAATGTCAAGGTTCCGACAGGTACTCCGCAAGCACCATTCTGTCTATATTGCAGTCAGATATTGAGGGAGATTGATCTGGACCTGCAGCCACGCACGATCGACGACCAGGCCGGAACCCCACGTCAATTGGGGTGAATGGCGTCAGCAGGCGTCCGTCCGTTGATCTCGCTGGCCATACGTCTTGGGTTGTTGTTGTAATACCCCTGGATAATGGATCGACTATCGTCCCCGTTGATGGCCGAGAATGAGAATTGATTAATTCATTGAGGCTGGAATGTGTTGAAATTGGAGACCTAGGCCAAAGTCAGCATGGTCGGCTGGAATGGGAGCGTGGCTTGAGAATGAAGTCCCACTTCGACCCCTCCAGCTGAGCCCCTCTATCCATATCGGAGCCGAGAGATTTACATCGGGCCCCCGATAACCCTGTGAGGGGCTGCATGTGCAGGAGGAAATTTTTTCGAACACTAACTACTAGATGGAAAGAAAGATCACTGTCGTGCTAATGCATGCTAGCAGCCCGTCGGCTGTCAAGCGTTAAAAGCCGAGGTATGATATATGCAAAGTCCCCGTTGGGATCAGCCGGTCGTGCATGGCGGATCATGCATCTCGCCCGTACTGGTCTGAATCCTCACTACCCCCGGCGTAAATCTCTTGACCGTTCCGTCGGTCTTTCCACGCTTCGTACCCTCTCTACGGGTCCTCCACGCATGGTTCCATCCACCTCTGCTCGTCTTTCCGTTTTCCGCCTGGCGTGACTCTGACCGGAGAAACCTCGCTTTACTCTGCGGTCCGGGATAGGACAGAAACACACCCAAGAGGGGGGTTACACCAGGCACCCTTTACGTATTGTGGTGCCCTCTGGCCGCAGATGACCTACATAAGCGTCCCAGTACCAGGAATCCATGGTCCCGGTGGCTGCTAGTGGCACGTCTTGGACCATGGATTCATCCCGGTAGACGGATTCCACTACCACCATCGTACTTTTGTCAGTGGAGATTGGTTCCTAGCTGAGCTTGCCCCTCGCCTTAAACGAGTCTAGGGGAGCCACTGTCCACGTTCTCAATCACGGCCTGTGCCTTGCAGATGGAGTGACGGGGTTGAATTCAATCATAATCGGGGTGGCAAAAACCAACGATACGTAAACACGACCGACCATGAACCGATCGGGACCACAGCCGGCGTGGCAGAGCTCCCCACCCACGACGATCCCTCTGGTCTCAACGGCTTTCGATTCTAGCGGAAAAGGATCCCGCCACATGCACTTGGCCTAGAGTGGAAGATCCGCTAATATCGCTAAGAGATGGCAAGGTGTCAGTGCTTGTCCCGTTTGTCCGGTAATCGCTTTCACATGGCATTTACGAATTGTGACATACGCCGTCATCTATATCATCTCCGTTAGAATGATGCTAACGTTCCTGGACTCCCCACTCAGGAATCTGGACTTGCAAAGCATGCATTAAAGAGTCGTATCATCACACCTTCTCCATCTATCTGCGCTCCAGTGGGATGGCATGTGGATTGCTTAGGTCCAATCGCGTAGCAGGCTGACGGACGGACGGCGGTCTTGATGGCATTCCCCCTGTTGTAGGAGCCCCTATCGGATCAGAACGTGCCCGGCGGCCCTGGAATCCATATCTCCATTACATGGAGCACGGAATACACCGTCTTCCGCGGAGTTGACATACCGGCCTTTTTCGAACTCACCGATGTGGCAGCTACCCCCTGCTGCGGTCCTGAAAAGTTACACTGTCAGGTGGATTACAGAGTAGGTTGTATACTGACTATCGCAATGTTACTGTGCACCACGAGAACATGGGCGCATTAGACCCTTACAGCTATACTCCGTACGGACACATTTTTCTCTGCATGGCAGATATACTCGAACACAGTACTATATGACAAAGGAACAAGGAGCAGGTGCCGCTTCTCATATGGAAGTGAGTTGCACGAACCCACGATGACAGAATGTAGATCAATGTCATTTCATTTGTTGATAATGCACTAATGTTGTTCGAATCTGTTGATAGCGCCGCAAGCTGCGACCTACTCTGTCTTTGTCGAGACTCACAGGGCATGGCGAGAGTCATCTGGATTTATCACCTAATAGGAAATAACACAAGAATTAGTTCAATAAGCTTGATTGCGGGCGGTAATTCGTCTGCTTGGGATACGGTCAGCCATTACTACAAAGAAACTGAGGTGATTTGCAGCAGACAAGGTATTATGCACAGAAAACCTGTCAGCTCATGCTCATGCAGGGGACAAAACCCCCCACCAGGCAAATTCCAAATAAACGGCGTTCTTCCCAGATCCACTTGCTTGGATGGCTACGGATTTTACCCAGCCTTCCGGGGACTTTGATGTTCACCAATACTATTGCATGGTTGCCTACCTAGGTGTCGACATAGCTCAAGAAGTATCCTAGGAATCAACTATAACGGTGTTCGGCGTTGTGGAAGCATCTCCTACTTTTAAGTTGCCCTGGCCATGTCCACAGGCACGCATGGTACGGCCGAGACCCGGCGTTCCCGCGAATGCCAGCATCTAATTAGTGTACATGCGTTAGTTTGTTATGTACTACTAGCATGATTGACACATTCTATGGGGCTCTCTTGCAGAAGGAAGGGTAAAAATCGTCCTCTCCCCGGGACTTCAGTCTAATGTAGCGTGAATGTCTTACTATGGCGGGCTTTTTCCCGCCTCGCCCTTCCTTCCGGCACCCTAGGTGACTAAAATATATTATGGAAGCTAGATATTACAAGGTATCTATCTACCAGGTTGAAACGGCGATTTGGCAAGTAAGGGAAGCCCTGTCACCGCATCGAATGGCCAGAAACCGGTTCTCGAGCCGCTTCCGTGCGCGGGATAGTGAGACTAGCGAAAACGATGCTTTTGCAAGCTAGGAATGCGTCGGAAATGCTCTATGGGTTCAATACTCCATCCGCACACCACTGGATCTACCTAAACACGAACAAGTTCAGATAATTCCACATAGACCGGTGGCGTTTGAATTAGCGATCTGTGGCGCGAAATTAATGTGGCAAATCGATATTTATTTGCATTTCTCAAGGACGGGGGGTTTTTTTTGGTGCATATTATGGACCCCACAATGGTAGTCAGTATGCTGCTTATCGGCGTTAACCGAGGAGCACCCGTGACTCTCTTCCTGCGAAGTGGCGGCATTCATCCACATTCCCTTGTATTCAGTTACTTGGCTGCCTGGCCTTCTCCATTTGTTGTATTGATTTCAAGATAACACTGGTGGGATAGAGGATAGTCACTATAAATTCGTTCCCTATCAGTGTTATTTGTGTTGATTGATTATGTCTACGAGAGGAAGCCGGTTGCTCATAAACTTGGTTCACTGCTTACACTCACTTGACAAAGGAAATTGATGTTATACGATAATTATTATTGGTAGGAAGAGGGCATTAATCTGATTTCGCACTCTGAATGAGTGGCTGTGGTAATGTGCCCCACAGCAATCGCGGTGGGATTGCCAGGTCTTTACATGATCCACCTACACTACTCCGTACAAGATAGATTCAAGGACTATCCTTGTTGTCATATGTAGGAAGTACAGCTAATCACAATAATAGACGCCAATGCTACTCATGCTGCGCCCATCTGCTTCATCCACCAGACTAACATTTAAAAAATCTTGCGTATTCTGTAGCAAACCCATAGGCGCATAACGACATGCAGCGGAACCGGCGCTGCAGGATGCTGGGTGGGAAACAATGTGACCGTCCTTTGTGGAGAGTCGAAGATCCTTCGCTGACTGATGGAGTAGTCATCCCGACGTTTCTCCAGGTTATCCCATTGTGCTCTGGACAAGCTCGACAATCTATTTACCTTTTGTTCAGCCGCAAGTAGTACATGGCGAATAGCTAATCCGCAGGATCTTTGAATAATGATTGGCGAGATTACTCACATGCATCATTGGGTCAACCTCGGGGGAGGATGCCCTTCAGGGGTATTTGTGGACACTGGTGGCAAACGGCCGGCTGCGTTTCCAGGTACTCGGAATCAGGCACGACATGTTGCCAGATCGGACGGTGAGAGCATGGTCCATCAACAATACTGAGAATATGTTCTTAGCGTTCCCTTTATAGCACGTCTACATAAGGTCAGACTTGTATTCCTTGCTTCAGAAAGTATTTTGGCAGCCTATTCACGTCTCGTTCTCTTCCTTACTACCTAGGTACACTTCTGATTCACCAATTCTGCAGTTAAACCCTGTAATGCCCGAAATTCCGAACTGTCCTCCTTTGCCTGACCCTTTCACTTCAAAGGTTAGCAAATAAGTTGGTTATTGATGGCGGCGGTCCTGGGACTAGCGGAACCTACCCGAATCATGGCTTAGACGATGAGAGGAATCAATGGAGTCATTCATTGTTGAATACGCCACTTCCCCACATGCTTTGTGGTCGTAGCTGAGCCTCCAAGTAATGTTGGAATGATGTCCACTTATCCGGTAGGGCCGGGAAGGATATCCAAACTTCAACGGTCCAGAAGTACCTGATAATCGCCAAGGCATTCATTGCTTATTCGAGGCCCCTGATTCGTGCAGTGTCTGGCTGATCTATATATGTTTATCAAACGGACAAGCTCCGAGAGACTAGATCGATCGTGTGTTCGCGAGATTTGGGAGATCATAATATAACTTAGCCTCCACCTGAGCCTTGGTTCCCACCTGCCTTACGGTGACGTAGTTTCGTCCTATTATGGAAGATGAAGAAAGGCCTGGCTCCGGGATATTTCCAAGTCTGGCCTGGCCACTTCTAAAGCATGGTTCGGGTGCGCGGAGTTCCACCATTCCAGATGGAGATTGTAGTATCAAAAACGACTCGTGATGAGTGTCTGTCTGCGAGCATTTCGCATGTGCAGCTCTAACCAGAGAGCCGAGAACAGAGGCCTTGCCCTCACTACTTCTGAGGTTTCTGAGGGCCATGTCAAAGATATATCACAGACACAGATGACTAAATAAATAACGCCTCCACACAGTATAAGGAAATTATGATATTAGGTACCTTCTATCTTCAAACCAGGGAATAGACTCATTGAACATGCCCATACATCTGAGAAGCTGCCCAGGAGTGACAAGATTTCGTATTCGGAATGTTTCATTTGCCTCATGAATAATGGCTCTCTTGTTCATTGCAGTAACTTGGGCTTCGTCTCCATACCTTCAGTGCCCACGTAAACTCCCCAAATGACGCAAAGGATTGATGAGAGTCATGTTCCGACCCGGCACGTCCGTTTTTGAGTCCATACTGCCAATATATATCCCAAGTAAAAGTTCGCACCGTAAAGCGTCTCCTCAATGATGGGAAACCGTATAACCGCGTCCGGCTGTTGCAAATATCATTTCGAGTCAGTTCAGTCACACAGGCAGGAAGACCAGCGGCCGGGTTGCAGTTATTTCTTTCCAGCTTTCAAGGCACCAGAGTGTCTGCCATATTCGAGAATCATGCCCAGCGTATCCCGTTCCACATCGCTAAATTCCGCCATTGTCGTAGATGTGAGGCAGCAAATGTTGTTCTCATGGAGTTGCCACGCTCCGGGATCTCCAATCTCTCGCGGTTCACGGAGATAGGCCTCGAAGTCTGCTGGTTTCTGATGCTTGTGCTCGGCGAATTTATTCGGCAATAGCCACCCGTTAAACCAGAGCGGCTTTCCGTCACGATCCAGGTGAAGCAACTGGGGGCCACATATCGTATAGTTGGCAGACTCCGCCTGAGACTGGATGCTGACTTCATCGGGTTGATTGCTGCTGGTGTCGTTGTCGTTGACTGTGTTACCTGGGGAAGTACTGGGTTCAAGCACACCCATGATACCGGCATCACCGTCGTGGAACGCGTATCCCGTGTCTCCAGCAAGCTCCCAACCAAGCCAGAAGGTTTCTTTATCGCCTGGGTAGAGTTAGCACGCGTGAATGGATAGCAATTCACCGGGGCAGCATACCGTATACCATGTCGTACACTCCCACCTTCCCCACAGAAGCATCACCATCGCGATCGGGCCCATTCATTCGAGTGACCAACAGAAGAGCGACAAAATGCTTCCATTTATCGACGACAACGACTCCGGATTCTTGCATGTGGCCGCTTTCTCCAGTCCAAAGCCGACTCTGAACGACATTCTTGGAGATTGGCTTCGGAATGATCCGCTGCAGCCAGCGCTTCTTCGCTTCTGGCATCATAAGCCGATCCTTGAAGAACAATGCGCCAGTCTTGACGTACGCCGGGTCCTCAAAGAGCATTTCGGGGTTTTGAAAGAACAGGGAATCGGCGTCGATGAATATGACTTCGCGGAAGCTCGAAAGCAGGATGGCGAACGGTTTGCCCGCCCAGCCCGCCAAAGTCCACCCACTGTCATTAACCATTTGACTCAAGTCGCGTGTAATCACTCCTGGCAGAGACTCCAAATCTGAGCGGAAATCCTCGCTCAGGTCACCGTCCCCGAGGTACAGGACTTCGATAGGCAGATCGCATCCGAGTCGCCGAATGGAAGGAATCGAGGTCAAAAGGAATGGGGCTTGGGCGTCACCGGCTGAAAAGACGAGGCCACGTCCACCGGAATATAGCTGCGAGTGTAGGAGGGTATGGTCGGAGAAATATGGAGCGGTCCACGGGAAAAGAAGCATCGACAATCGAGTAATGACCATGCGGTAGGTCTCGTAGGAGCGAACCAACTGAGGCATGTCGGTTTGCAGGCTGCTCGCCAGTTCTGGATGATTTCTTATATACGTGATCATGTCATCGCGGACATACATGGCTTCAGGACCAGCAAAAGTGTGGAGATCCTCCCAGGCCTCGAAGAGAGTCCTGAAAGAACGCGTCCGTAGACCCATTTCGCGCAGTCTTTCTTCGCCCGTGCCTGCAATGGGCCGGAGGAGGTCGCGGACGTGGAGCTCATCGGGAAGTAATGTTAAAATGCGATGAAGTGCATCCCGCAGGTCTATCCGGCGCGGAGGGTCTACTGCGGCCACTCCTGTCGCTTTAACATCGTGGGGTGGGTGAAGGGCAGCCTGAAGCTGGCGATCGTCGCTTTTTTGACGGGGGATCTTTTGCAGGGAACTGCTATCGTCCGATTCGAGGGATGAGTCTGTCGTTGATTCACCTGTTGGGCCGCCCGGTTAGGTTGGGCGATATGAGTAGTATTACTCTCGGGGTGGCATACCAACTGCCGCATTCGCTGCATTCGCTGTATTCTGCCGCGCTTGAGATCGATGGATCGCTGTGTCGTAACAGAACCAAACGATCAGAACCAGCAGAAGGATCCGGAAAACAGCTGTCCGTCGCCTTCGTTTTGCGCTGCTCCATTTCGATGCCCACTCCATTGCTACAGAGCGGATTCTGGTGAGGAAGACCTGCGCATAGGTATGTGCGGGGATTGAAATTAATCCATAAGCGATGCAACCGACGACGAGCCAGAGTGAGTTATATGGTTAAAGTGATATAACGTGACATGGCCAGGAAATGCGGCACCGTTCTCACTCCCAGAGGGGATACGAAGGCATTTTCACTGCCCATGACGATTCGCAGACGTCGGGTGATAGCATTGGCGGCGTCCGCGGTGGCGGAGCGCGTCGAACCAGGAAATTGCAGGCGGGCATGTCAGAGCTATCATTTGACGGACACGGACGTATAGAGTATTGTGGCTTCGAGACATGCAGTGTCTAGATCATGGGGGGTTAGCCGTAGCGTGGCCATTCGTCCATCCGAGAGCTTTAAGCCCGATTCATCAAGGGGACTCTGGCGCAGGGTCTTTTGCTTGGTCAATGACAGAAATAACAACTGACAGTGAGTCGCAGGGTCTCTTGGCGGGAAATTTTGTCAGACTAATGGGGATGGATTTGGGAAGGGCTAGTCCATGGGCACTAGATATACTGCATTGCTCGGGATATTTATGAAGCCGCCGTGCCATCGTCCAGCCACCTGGCCACAACGGTTGATTTACCTATCAAGTCTCCATCGTGCCACGCAACAAACGCCGTGTATATTCCCCACCGAACCCCAGTCCCAATGTTCCACTTCATGATCATCATCATCACTTAAGAGAAGGTCGATCAGAGTCCGTTGTTCTGCATACTCCATAAAATCCTGGAATGCATCATCGCCGCGGGTGTGTGCCTCGGCTCCGCTCTGGACGGCCGCGGCGGCGTACGGGCCACATGTTGGCGCACTCACATTGCATGAACCTGTCTGTAAGATTCGTGCAAGGACCCGAGAAACAGGCTAGCATTATATATATAATTGTGTTCTGGAGACACTGGGGTCTGTCTTTCGCCGTGAGAGAGACATGAGCCCGACCATACATGTGAGGGGTGGAAAGGGGGAAGTTGACCTGTTTTCTCCAATGCCCCCCATACTACGGAGTATCTACTCAGTGACGATCAACGCGGGCAGCCTGTTTTCTACGTAGAGAGATGGACTACTCAAAAATAGGGACGTAGAAGGATTCTTGGGGATGGCTGGAGAGCCGACATGTAATTTGTGGCCGGACCGTGGGAGCAGAAATGGACCGACCCACGCTCTTCCACCGCTTCCACCGCTTCGTAATCAGAATCGAAAACCGCAAACATGACTGGAGCACGAGAATCATAACCGACGTCAGGAATGTCGGTCCTTATCATGCCAAAAAGGGGAAATATGGGGGTGTCGTGTTGGAGTGACATCAGGCTGCCCTCCGATATCCACCCCCTAATCCACCCCCGTATTCTATATCGGGGAAGCAGGGCGAGGCTACGGATGATATTCCTGCACGGATGACCGAACTTTAACCCCACACACCAATCATGGGGAATCCTGGGGCAACTAAGGGGAAGCCAAATCCTCCTGACATGGTTGCGCTGCGGCCGCCAGGACGACTATCGTCTTGGTGCATACCGCAGCCCCGGCAAGACTAGGGCTTGCACAGAGCACAATGTGCTGTCCATCCAATACCATCTCGAGAAGACATCGTTTGGCAGCGTTAGGGTCCACCGCTTTCCCAACAAGAGGCGCATCTGGCTCTCCTTTGGCGCCGGTCCCTCTGTCGAGATCCGAGGTTTGTCGATCCCTCTCTGCGGGGGAGAATTTCATATGCAACGGCCGATCAACGAGGGGCGCACTGAAGGAGCCGAGTGATAAATACCAGGACCATATCAGGGGGGGAGTCCATCTGGACCCAATTGCTCTCGCCGTTATCATCTCTCTTTCTGTCCGCTTGCAATCTGACCTGTCCGTCACACAATGTCACCCACCAGCGCCCCAGGATACGTCGGCAACTTGTCGGCAGACCAGGAGGCCAAGCTGCGCCAGCTCTGGTCCATCATCCTGAAGTTGAATGAGATCTCGCCTCCTGGATTTCAGGACGTGACTCTGGAGAACCAGCAAGACAAGCCGCAGCCCGTCCATCGTCGCAGCTCATCCCTGACGAAAACCGTGTCCAACACGAGCAACTCCAACTACCCATCCGATCTGAACGACATCCTGCTTGGCCTTGGGGTCAACAGCAGCGAGCTGAAGACCATTCGGGACTGCCTGAACCGTACCTCGATTGAGGAGATTCGCCGCAGCTTGCTGAGCACCGCCAAGCAGGATCATCCTGATGCCTTGCTCCTCCGGTTCATCCGCGCCCGGAAGTGGGATATCAGCAAGGCTCTTGCCATGATGTTGGAGGCTCTGGTGTGGCGGGTCAAGGAACAACACGTTGATGAAAAGGTGGTGGCCAACAGCGAACTACAAGCATTGAAGGAGTCGCAGAACAAGTCCAAGGCACAGGAGGCCAAGGCGGCCGACACCTTCCTGGCGCAGATGCGCATGGGTAAGTGTTATGTGCGTGGCACCGACCGCGCTGGTCGGCCGATTGGAATTGTCAAGGCCCGTCTGCACAACCCCAAAGCCCAGAGCGAGGAGGTCATCAAGCGGTATATTCTGCATGTCATTGAGTCGACCCGCTTGCTGCTGGTGCCTCCCGTGGAGTCGGTGGTACGTATAGACAGGGCAGCTCCCATACGTTGGAACCCACTGACGCAAAATTAGAACATCATCTTCGATATGACCGGCTTTTCGCTATCCAACATGGTAAGTGTATCCGTTTCCGACGATCGAATCGCTATGGCTGATGATAATGCGTTCTTCAGGAATACGCGCCCGTGAAATTCCTGATTGATTGTTTCCAAGCCAACTATCCCGAGTCGCTGGGCGTCATGCTGATTCACAACGCCCCCTGGGTCTTCTCGGGTTAGTAACCCGTCCTGCATCGGACGTGAAATATGACTGACCTGATTCCAGGAATCTGGAAGATTATCAAAGGATGGATGGACCCCGTGATTGTGTCCAAGGTCGACTTCACATACACTGCCAAGGACCTCGAGAAGCACATCGCCCCTGACCAGCTGGTCAAAGAGCTCGGAGGACAGGACCAGTATGAGTATGAGTTTGTTGAGCCGGCCGACGGCGAGAACGAGAAGATGGCCGATGTGACCACGCGCGATGCTCTCCTGGCCGAGCGGGAGAAGATTGGCGAGGAGCTGCTCAAGGCCACTGCGGATTGGATAGATGCGGTGAAAGAGAAGGACTCCGACAAGATCTCCTCGGCCAAACAGCGCCGGGATCAGGTCATTGAGAACATGCGACTCAACTATTGGAAACTCGATCCTTACGTCCGCGGCCGGGGGCATCTGGATCGTGTCGGGGTGATTCGCGAGGGCGGAAAGATTTCATTCCACCCCGAGTCTGAATCGGAAACGGAGGTGCAAGAAACCAAGGCCCTGGAGGTGGAGCATATCGAGAGTACGCAGTCTCAGACGGTAAATGCGTAGGGGTGGTGGGATTTGGCGATGTTTTGACGTTCATCTTTTGGGCATACAGGTTATGCTTTGCTCTGCAACTGTTTATAACATTTAGATATCATGTGTATGATCCGGGTATGCAATACTTCATTTACGACTTCCACAGGATATCTAGATGGGTCTGGACTTGTCCGAAGGCTTCGACCTTGCTAGAGGCCTAGACCCGTGGTCGATGACAACATGGATATATAGATGTCGGTAATTTAGGGGAATATATCGCAAGCCAAGTTTCAAATCTTGCGACAAATGGGGCTTGGCTTCACCCTGCAGTCCAGAGTTCCAGACTGGTTTAAACGACACATGATTGATCGGCAGTCTGGTGGGTTTGGGCCGAGAAGTGGTCGGCAATGGGTCCTTTGGAAGTTCAGCGACAGTGACACGGCAGGACTTAGGATAGTAATATGTTGATCCGCCTTGCCGTTCATTTCGCAGTGTTCATGCCCCTATGGCTATAGAAAAACTCATGTTAGACTATAAATATCGCCAGAGAGGCGTGGTCAGGTCACCTTGAAACGGCGATCGTTCCGGGCGGTCCGTAGAACGCACAGGGCTCTGGGAATGTCCAGAATCGCATGACATGCCAGGCACGGCACGGCACGCTGGCCTTCTATGTATATCTAAGTCCATTATGACCTTTTTTTTTAAAAAAAAAAAAAAAAGATTTAATGGAATAGATGGGACTGAAGTGCCGGGCGACGATGGGAGAATCGGTCATGTCCACAGGCAAATGGTACCAAGGCCTCTCAGCGAGACATCCGATAGATCTGACTTTAGGCGATACCGGCTATACTAATGAATCCTCATGAAAGAGACGTCCATGAGACGGAATCGGCACATAATTGAAGTCGAAACTAGCCATGTCGGTTCTGGGAAGGCTGTTGATCCCATCCTGCCCTGGACAGCCAATATTGCGGGGAACGTCCGATGGCGTTTTGGCTAAATCTCGGCTCTCTTTCTTTGGCTATTGTGTGCTCCACCGACGCCGTGGCGCATTCAGCAGGGGTAGAAGATGTGTGGGTGATTTGGATGCTAGACAAGCTGAAACCAGAAGCATCACGGAGGCTTGTAGGTCTGCACGGCAATGTCGAGGTCATCTCCCGATTGTCTACCTTCTTCAGCGGGTGGTGGACCTAACTATACGGAGTAGGCAAATCATCCTTCGTCAAACGAGTTGAAACCGGTGGACCATCCGTCGATATCCACATCGGTCGATCGAGAAACAAACCCTTCATTTCCGCTGAAGAAATCCCATCTGTCATGATTCAATTCAGCTTGGCAGAATGCCGGCTCGGTGGCTAAATGACGCTACAGCAATCCTCAAGGCTTGTCACAGCCCTGTCTGGTGGCCGGATAAAAGGAGTGTCGATCTTCACCACGACGCTCCGTCATTTCACTACCCATTATGAGGGGGCCGAGATGCCGGGGTCATGAAACAACCAGCGATTAAGATGAATCGACGTGTTTCGGCTAAATTCCGGCGACACTCATGGTATAAAGAGGGCCTCTGCGAGCTGCTCGAGTCCAGCAGATCGCAAAAGCAACACTCCTTCAGTCGCAAGCATCCAAGTCACAATGGTCTCTTTCTCGTCTCTCGCCGTTGCTTTCTCCATCGCCTCCGGGGCCCTCGCTGCTCCTAATGGCATGTTGGAGCTGTTCAAGCGCCAACAGATTACCAGCTCCGAGACTGGCACCAACAACGGATACTACTATTCCTTCTGGACCGACGGCGGCGGCCAGGTGACCTACACCAACGGTGATGCCGGTGCTTACAGTGTCGAATGGTCCAACAGTGGCAACTTTGTGGCTGGAAAGGGCTGGAACCCTGGAAGCTCTCAGTACGCACTCCTGAATCCATCTGCCCTGCGCGAACACAGCTAACGAGATGAACCCTGCAGAACCATCACCTACAGCGGCGAGTGGAACCCCAACGGAAACAGCTACCTGTCAGTCTACGGCTGGACCCAGAACCCGCTGGTCGAGTATTACATTGTTGAATCGTTCAGCACCTACGATCCTTCCACCGGCGCCCAGGAGCTCGGCACCGTGGAGACCGACGACGGCACCTACAAGATCTACAAGACCACCCGCGAGAATGCGCCGTCTATCGAAGGCACTGCGACCTTCAACCAGTACTGGTCGGTCCGCACCGACCACCGCGTGGGCGGTACCGTCACCACGCAGAACCATTTCGATGCTTGGAAAAATGCTGGCCTCGAGATGGGAACCGCCAACTACATGATTGTCGCGACCGAGGGCTACCAGTCGAGCGGATCGGCCTCCATCACTGTGCAGTAAACTGGTATTGACTATGCACTGAGGGGTGGTGAAGGTAGTTAGCGACGTTGGTTCTCGAGGATTGAACTTTCTGTATCTCTGGCACAGGTTGCCGATTTTGTACATCCGCTGCAGCATACTATCAACGGAGTGGTAGTTTGGGTGCCTAGGCTACATTCTATCAGACTGTTTCACTCCCTGTATGAATCGTGTACAATAGACTTCTACCAGGCACATTCGATGTATTCCGCCCACTTAGGCCCGGCCACATCACCGGGGCCTGCATTGCGCATATTTTATCCGGCAAACAGGAAGGACAAGACCGACTTTGTAGATCTCTACACGCTTTGGTCGCGTTAGCTCGTTTCCTAGCTCCCTCGGAAATACCCTCATCCAGCGATTTGGGGGCGGGTTGCCCAGTAACCCCGCTGTCTCGCTGAGACAGCCGTCTTTGCAACGCCCACATATTGGCTTCACGATCAGGTACGGTCAACTGTGTAGGTTCGCAGGGGCGAAAATGGCAACGCTCGAGCAATGGCCGATCATCCAAGGCAGACACCTATGCGCGTGCTTGCGTTGTGATTTCGCGGTCGGGAACAGGAGTAGAGCAACAAAAACAGATGGGAGCCTCTCTGTCGGTACGTATAGCACGTTTCTCGACTGGATTTTCGGGACCCATGAGACAGAACGTGCCCAAGAACTTCCACGCGAACGTGACCCGCTGCATCGCCGCGGCGATGCAGGATTTCGCCATGACTGCTGTTTATGTTGGGGGACACGTCGGTTATACCCTCGTGCGGAAACAGGTAGAGTTGCTATGGATGAGAGAGTTGGATGTACGAGGACTGTTGCGTGTGTGGGTGCGGGTGCCATGGCTCCGAAGCTTTTGGGAATTGCGTCGTGCAAGGATTACTATGCCAGCGGTGGAGTTTGCAGGGATAATACCGAGCAGACACTGCGTATAAGTAGCTTCTATTACGCAATCCGACCTCTTAAAGACAACATCGTCTGTCGGATAATGTCGCTTAATCGACATCACATACAGTCTGCCATCTAAAAGCATGAATGATGGTGTATGAGCAAGGAACAATGTCGTGGCCGCCTACGTTGGATGAAATAGTCGGTTATATATGTCCGTCGATCCAAGCAAGATGATCGCTTTCGCTACGGATGGGCGGCAGATGCTGCAATATATATTCGCCTTGGTAACACAACAAGAACTCGTGCATTGTATTCAATATCGATATTCCAGGAAACGCCTCTCCAGTAACATGTATGTAGGAGAGCGCACAAACATCCGAAGGTAAGGCATGTTCCTTCAATCCACCTGAAGGGAGACCACATTCGAACTATATTCTACCCGCTCTGTATCCTGGAATTTCTCGAGACGATCCATCTTCACATCCTCCAGAGGAAGTCTCCAAGCCGCCTGACAAAAACCACTCGTTTGAAGAGTATACTCGTGGCCGGTGGTGAGTGGGACGCGAGGAAGCGTAACGACGTTCTCAACTGAGGCGCCAGCAGCGATCTCGACCAAGTCGTCTGGCCTAGGTGGCAACAGTCGCGACACTTTGATGGTATCGAGAGGGACGACGACGTCGTCAGTTTTGTCGTGTATGTGGAAGATACCAAGCACGTTGGCCTGGGGGTCAAAAGGCGTGCCCCATTTCAACAAGGTCAGCGGGGTGGTCTTGTTCAGATTTTGGACGGTCACTGAAATGGGGATGGACAATGGTGGTGAACTGGCTGGGATATGAGGGGGCGCAATCTGCACCTGGATACCAAGCGAGGTGGCCATGCTGCCGTGGTCAATGCCGTGATTGATGCCGGTGGACAGCGTCTCCGCAGATGGGTAAATAAGCCTGTGGATGGAGTCTGTCGGGAGGAGCCGAAGGAGTCTGGGTTGTTCTACTGATAATCCCCTATCGCCGCGATAGCCCCTGTGGCGCATCGATATCCAGGCCTAATTGGTGCACTATTCCTTTCAATCGGTCCGGCAGTCTTGGGTAGCATTCTATAGCAAATAAATAGATTAACTTGTATTAGACCGACTTCTTTCATTGTCACACTAAGCCTTGTGGCGTTCATCACGGCATATTGATGGCTGAGGGATGAGGGGTCCAATGTAGTGACCGGACATCAAGAGGGGGATGCCTCGGCCAGCATATTCATTCAGTCCGTTTGTTTCTCCAGTATAGCCAGTTGAAGAATGGCATAGATATTCCTGTTCTAAAGACCTAATGCTCTCTGCGGCCGAGTTCCAGGGGCCCCTAGTGTCTTCTGTATCTTGTGGTAGAATGGTAATGCGTATCACGGAACATTCCCGCCCAATACGGCCCTGAGATGGTCCTCTATCATAGACCCTGGTGTCCTCGTTACATGGCCATTCCTTGGCGACAGTAGTTACTCCGCAAATCCGCCGGAGAACAGCTACATGGCTGGGCGGAAGAGTATCACCTGGGACTGTTATCAGTTCTGACCTCCGGCAGTAGCATACAATATCCGTTCTTGCATATCTTGGCAGCGCATACAAGGCTTCACTGGTGATACTACCTTCTTGTTTTGGTTGAAGATCCGACATGTCTAATAATTCAGTGTAGTATAGTCTTTCTCTTGATCTGGATTTGTGATATGCCGTGTAGACACATGTAGGTGTCTGTTGATCTATAAAAGGGGGATGAGAGACGCCCATTGAGAATATATCAACTCGCATCCCAAAAAAACACCCCTCCTTTCAGAAAAAACAGTCCGTCAAGCCTCGTCAACATGCGTTTCACTGCCCTTGCCACTGCCATTCTGCCTCTTGCTTGCAATGTTTTGGCCCTCCCAGCCAAGACCGGAGAGGCCCCAAAGCTTGATGTTTCCCTGAGCCAGGTTGACAACACCCTCATCAAGGCTGTTGTCAAGAACACTGGCAGCGAGGACATCACCTTTGTGCACCTGAACTTCTTCCGTGACAAGGCTCCCGTGAAGAAGGTATCACTCTTCCGCAACGGTATGTTATACCCCTACATCCTCATTTCCCAGCACTAACCAGCGTCGTATAGCAACGGAACTGCCGTTCCAGGGTATCAAGCAGCGGTTCAGAACCGAAGGGCTCACTGAGGACGCCCTGACGGTTCTTGCTCCTGGTGAATCCATCGAGGATGAGTTTGATATCGCTGCTACCAGTGACCTGTCTGAGGGCGGAAGCATCACCATCAGCACGGATGGTTTTGTGCCCATCGCCACTGGCAACAAGATCACCGGTTCAGTGCCTTACTCCTCGAATGAGCTCTCCATCGAGGTAGACGCCGCTCAAGCCGCATCTGTGGCCTCCGCTGTCAAGCCCCTTGACAAGCGCACCAAGGTTGCCTCATGCTCTGGGACTAGATCGAGTGCTCTCTCCACAGCTCTGAAGAACACTGTGTCCCTGGCCAACGCCGCTGCATCGGCTGCCCAGTCTGGCTCGTCTTCCCGGTTTCAGGAGTACTTCAAGACTACGTCCAGCTCGGTGCGTAGCACTGTGGCTGCTCGATTCCGTGCCGTGGCGAGTGAGGCATCCAGCACCTCCTCCGGCTCTACCACGTACTACTGCACCGATACATACGGCTACTGCAGCTCTAATGTTCTGGCGTACACGCTGCCTGCGTACAACATCATTGCCAACTGCGACATCTACTACACGTACTTGTCTGCTCTCACTAGAACTTGCCACGCCCAGGACCAGGCGACTACCACTCTGCACGAATTCACCCACGCTCCCGGAGTCTACAGCCCGGGAACCGATGATCTCGGCTATGGATATGACGCAGCGACTGCGTTGAGTTCCAGCCAGGCGCTGAACAACGCTGACACCTACGCCCTGTTTGCCAATGGTAAGTTCTTGCTGAGTCGTGGAGTAGACGTCAGATGCTTACATATTATATAGCCGTGAACCTCAACTGCTAGGCTATGCAGCGAAGGAGAGAGTGAGAGCTGGGTGACTGATGGCAAGGGCATGAGTGGGGATGAAGGATGATAGCAAACGTTGATATGAAGTAGGAGCTCAATATGAACAGACCAAACTGCAGTGTTTCATTCTCGTGTGGGGTTCCTGCTTTCCTTTCCTAGGCGGTCGGATGACACAACTTCTACCATTTATGCTCAACCGCATACGCATAGATTATGCCCCTGGCTTGGGCCTGGTACAAATCCCGTTCACACACTTATTCCCATAGCAACAATTATCGTCAATCAGACACAGACCATTGTCCTCTTGGCAGTTGGGCCAGCGGCTATCGGTTGAGCGACACTTGGAAGCTGCACAATAGCCCGAGCAGCAGTTTCCAACCTGGCCGTTCCACGAACAGGTGTCTATCACGGTCAACATGGAGTCAATGGCAATACAGTCAATCACGTACCATAGACCCAGAGACATGTTGCTGTAGGCACACAGCTGGTCTTGGTAGTCGTGGCGGTCAGTGTCGCCGTAGCACACATCTCTGTTAGTGGACAGGCATCTGCGGTGCCACATCCTGTTGATGCAGTTGATGCAGTAGGACAGACATGGAGTGCGGCGACGTTCAGGATCAAGGCACAGAATGGTCCGGTGAAATGCATGGTCTTCGAGTCACTGATGCTAAATTTCAGAGATTTTGCTTGTTGGGAGAACTGCTGGTGCTTTCTGCCATTATATAACTACGTCTTTTCCCAAGCTGGGCTTGGTCGACGTAGTTTGCAGCGAGATGTCTCACTTTCCGTCTATTGATTGGCGCGGGATTGAGCAGATGATCGGGCAATACGAAGATGATGCCTGTAGCGTTCTGACATCCACCGAATAATGAGTCGCCCAGAGTTCTAGCATCTATACCGATGCAAAAGCCAGTGCACTTCAATTGCAACAGCTTCATTGGGTTTGCTTTCGATCTGAGGTATGTCATTGGCGTTCTGTGGCTGCGAGGCATTGATGGCTCACATGCAGATGACATTGATTTGCCACGCGAATACGAATATTGTGGGTAGATGCCTGTATTCAGTTTTACGTGAGGACAGACACAGCAAACACTTTGACAAACTGCTTGAATGTCTGCTGCATCTGATGATGCGTGCAGTAACTAGTTACTGTGCATAATGTCGTGGCTGATGTAAGCGATATAACTATGTGCATAACTGTGCATAACGTATCCCCATTGTCTCCTGTAGGCACATTTGAATGTCACGCTGGTTGGAAAGAAAGTCCATAAGCAGATATCTGAGACGAGATATAGCAACTGGGAATAGCGAATGGATATATCTCTTACACCTAAACAGGTGTTCGCTAACAAAGTGCCATTGTGATGAACAGCCATCTATTTCCCCCCATTACCTCATTTGGGCACTGTGCATCTAGGCTTTGCGTCGTAACCATGATGGATACTTGATCCTGCTGTCTCCATGATAGCTCCATCAGCTTCCATTCCGGCAATCATGCTCCTCCCTGACTGCATGTGCAGATCTAGCCAAGCGTTGCCAAGGATGGGCGCCGGACAAGTCATCGTTGGCTGTTTTCGCACGAGCTGAATTCGGCCCTGAGGATCTTTCGGATCGGGTTATCTCACGATGCTGTCCCCTGCTTATCACTATAAATTCCCCCTCTTGCAGCTGGGTTGAGCTCATCATTTCCCACCAGGCATCTCCCCAGCATCTCCCCCGTCTCCCTCATCGCCATGCGTCGCGTTCTTCTCCTGCTGGTGGCTGGGCTGGCGTCGGCGGCTCCTTCCGGGCCCCGTCCCGGTCAGCAGAATCTAGCAGCCAAGAACATCCAGGTTGGCCCGCGGCCTTACTACCTGGTCGATGACATGGACGATGGCTCTCTCAAGCGGAAGCTCGAATCGTGCAGCGAGAAGCCCATCACCTACCCACCACAATTCTCCATATCGCATCGCGGTGGGCCCTTGCAATTTCCCGGTATGTTGATCCGCCTTTGCGCGAAGGAATGCGGGCGGTCGCCTGGCTTTCTTAGATTGTTTTGCACGGCTGATGATTTTTTGCGAAATTGATTAGAGCACTCGCGGGAGGGCATGCTTGCTGCGGCTCGAATGGGAGCCGGCATTATCGAATGCGACGTTGCTTTCACGGCCGATCGTGAGCTGGTCTGCCGGCACTCGCAATGCGACCTGCACACGACCACCAACATCCTCACTACCGACCTCGCGGCTAAGTGCACCGTCCCCTTCCAACCCGCGGCCGATGGGAAGCCCGCTCAGGCCAAATGTTGTACCTCCGATATCACCATGGCCGAGTTCAAAACCCTCTGTGCCAAGATGGACTCGAGCAACGCGAGCGCCACGACGCCGGAAGAGTACCAGTATGGCGGACCGGCCTGGCGGACCGAACTGTACGACACGTGCGCCACTCCGATGGTGCACGGTGAGTACATCGAGTTGATCGCATCTCTGGGACTGCAGTTCTCGCCCGAGCTGAAGACCCCCCAGGTACCCATGCCGTTCGAGGGGAACTACACGCAGGCGATGTACGCGCAGCAGCTCATCGACGATTACAAGCGGCACGCAATTCATCCGTCACGCGTGTGGCCGCAATCCTTCCTTGAAGATGACATCTTCTACTGGATCGACCATGAACCAGCTTTTGGAAAGCAGGCGATTTACCTCGACGAGCGCGTGGATACCCCCAACGGATATACCGCCGCGGTTGCCGGACTGCCTGAGCTCGCGCGACGGGGCGTGAAAATCATGGCGCCACCAATCTATGCGCTGTTGAATGTGAGCACGGACGGAGAGATCATCCCATCACAGTATGCACGGGCAGCTAAGGCTGCCGGCTTGGATCTGATCACTTGGTCGCTTGAACGATCGGGTCCCCTGGAGCAGGCTGCGGCCGCCAAGGAGTACTACATACAGTCCATTGCCTCCATTGTTCACAAAGATGGCGACTTGTATCGCATCGTGGATGCTCTGGCTCGAAAGGTCGGCGTCAAAGGTCTCTTTTCGGATTGGCCTGCGACTGTGACGTACTATGCCAGCTGCATGGGCCTGGCATAGTCTTTGAATGCAGCGATATAGAGCAACACGTCGGCGTTGTATTTTGTATATATGGGCTTTAAAGCTCTGTGTTTGTTGAGTATTAAATCGGCCGGGTCTTCCATACGCACGATCAATCGTAAAGCTTCATGCCTGTCGATGGTACCTGTACCATGGTTAATGGAGCACTCCTCAGCAGATCTAGTCCCGTCATAATTGCCTGAGGTCGAACAATGTCAGGAGATCGGTCTCCCATGGATCGCGTTGTTTTGGTCCGAGCTGTCCTCGAGCGTTTTGGGCAACGGGTGGCGGTTGACATCATGATGAACACACTACTGTGGTGTCCATCTCAGATAATAACAAACACTCTCCCCGTCAGACTCGACTGTCGCCTCCTATACTGCAGGAGAAAATAATCAATCAGCATGTCGTTGTCGCTCATACGCAGCTCTCTGCTCCGTCCCACGTGCCTCCGGACCCAGCACCTGCTGGGCCGAGCGTACTATTCACCACGCCCAGAAGTCCACAGCAACAAGGGTGACGACTGTAAGTCTTTGGATGCGGACTATGAGTCTCGGCCAGCTTGATAATAAATCCAGTCTTCATCATGGCTTCCTTCCCTGATGACTTCGAGGCGCCAACCCTGATCGAGAAACGTGACGTGAGCCCGGCCACATGGGACGAACTCCACGCCACGCTGAGTGAGGCCTCGGTGTGTCCTCTGTGGAAGACAGACTAAATAGAAACAACGAGCTGATACAGGCGACAGGTGAAAGCCGACCGAGGCGAAGTGAAAGCCCAACCCCCCAAGACTCCGCGCCAGGATATCGAGAAATTCCTTCAACCGGACACCCTGGACCCGAAGATTGATGAGATGTGAGGCTGCGCTGGGTCGGTTCAGAATGGTCGGAAATGGAGGATCTATCCAGCTCAATCTTTAATGGGTTACGTCGGCGTTTTTAACTAGGTATCTATGCGATCAGGTCTATAGTTTGCAACTCCGAGAATGAATCCATGGAATGCATATACCTGTTCTAAATCAACTGGAATATGTCTTTGCTCTTCGCTAACTTCTATATGCTGCCATCTTAATAACCAGACGCCACATTGTAGTTGCATGACTTCCTTGGATTCACCAATTCGCTACTTATCCGGGGCATCTTGGAAAGGTAAAGATGCAAATAGACAATGCCATTTGGCTAGGTTCTGCAGCTGCCTGCGTGTGTATATATGTGAGTATCTCAGCGGCTCTATATCTTCCTTAATACTATCGCCCCAGTGCTATTTTACATTGAAGCTGAACACACTGCACGTGGAGGCTTGTCGACCAGGAAGGTGTATTCAGGATGTTTGACAGGGGTACATCGTCCATCTTACTGGCTGTATGCACGATTGTTGACAACTCATCAAAAGGCCTGTGCGTGGGCTTCTCACCTGTACGGAGACTGAGGGGGTGAGTCTAGGTAGCTATCTCGAACTTGCGTGTACCCACGCAACGTCTTCTTTCTCTCTCCTGCTAATATCACAGCTTACTATTGCTGAACGATAGCTCTGCTTTGATCTAGTCTCCTCATATCCGACCCTGGCCCCTTAAAGCGCTTTGGTTTGACGGAGGTGTATACCACCCGGCGCGAGCCGACGGTGGACATTGTGTTCGTCCACGGTCTCAACGGCCACCCATACGACTCGTGGACCAACCAGTCCGGCTGCTTCTGACCGGCGGACCTTCTGCCCGATGTGCTGGGGCTTCTGTGGCCGCGCATTCTGACCTACGGGTATAATGCGAATGTCGCGGCATTCACAGGCGGGGCGATCGTGAGCCATGCCGAGATGCTGGCGTGGAACCTGGCGGCCAACCGCACTGTAGGTGCTCTCTTGAACGTCTTGTCTTTCCCGCCCCAACGTTACCTCATGATGTGGTGGAAGCTGACCGACCTGGTATAGCTCCAAAGCTGCTCCGATCGCCCGATCATCTTCGTGTGCCACTCGCTCGGCGGGCTCGTTGTCAAGCGCGCACTGATCTACTCTCGCAGCTTGTCCAACGGGAGTACCAACCGCCTGCGCTCCGTGTATCTATCGACCTTTGGCATCCTCTTTCTCGGCACCCCACATAATGGATCGGATATGCCGACTGGGGCCTATTGCTGCACAATATCTGCACCGCCATGCTTCCGGAAGAGGTGACGCAGGCCTCATCGCAGTTGTTCAAGGCGCTATGTACCAACAACGAGACGCTGCAGCATACTAACAGCCTATTTGCCGATGTCATAAGCCGATTCCAGATTTACTTCTTCCACGAGACCCGCCTGACGGACGTACAAGGCACATGGCACTCTGAAGTTGGTTGTCGACGAGGGCTCTGCCGCACCCAACATTAAGGGCCTAGAGCGGATAGGCATTGACTCAGACCACAAACACATGTGCAAGCTCGAAGATGAGAAAGCCCAAGGCCTTAAAGTGGTCGCGGACCCTATCCTCCGGTGCTCACGCCAGGCGCCTACCGTAATCGCGGGTCGTTGGGCCTAAGAAAAGAAGGAGCGGGTGCTGAGGTATATCACAGTAGGCCAGAACCCTCGCCTTGGAGTGATGTCCGCATCTCTCCAACATCCGACATAGGGAATAGTCATTCTCTCTCAGCCTCACATGATTTGTCCAGAGTCCCGCCACTATTCGTTACGCCGCCGGGATTTCGTCCAAATACAAACTTCCTTGGCATGTAGAAGGAGCCCAAGGTGTTGTTGCATGACCGTTTGTTCAAGGCCGAGTCTCGCGCCTCTCGACCCGCGGCTGTTCTCATTTCTGGGGTTCCATGATCCGGAAAGACGCATCTAGCAAGACAGCACGTCTGGACACAGCGCGAGTGCTACACGGGGGAGTATTCTGGATAGATGCCAGTTCCCACAAGTCAGGATGTCAATGCTACTGGGAGATTGCGCAAGCTGCTAATCTGGTTGACCATAAGAATGCCGAAGACACTGCGGATCCTGAGCATTATGTATACACCGTTCGAAGATGGCTTCAGAGGCGCCGAGAATCGCTTTTAATCTTCGATGGGATCAACTCCTTCCATGATAGTGATCTCAATTATTTGCGACCTTTCTTTCCTGGGATAGGCGATCCAGCATTATATACACTTCGACTGACAGAACTCTCCAGGAAAATCAATGTCTTTTTGAGCGATACCATTTATTGGTTCCCCCGTTAGCGGCTGAAGGCGGTTGCAAGATTCTCTACAATTACCTCGGGATCAAGGAGCCGACAAAGGAGCAGTTTCATCGAGCGAGGGAGCTTGTGTCTTATTGCAAATACCTGCCAATAGGTATCGATGCTCTAGGTCACAGTCTCAGAGCAAGGAGTATGCCCATTGAGAATTTTCATGTTATACACAGAAGTTACTGGCTGTTTTTACCTAATTTGTATGGCCCGGATCTGGCCGATTCTCCCTCGTCACATAGCGCCCTAGAATTTCAGGCGGCCTGCTCCATATCGTGTGGACAGATCCCCAGGTACACGAACCACCTACATAGAACCCGCTGTAATTCTTTGGAGCCATACTCAACCCACTTCCTTCCAGAGGAGCCCTAAGCACCCTTTAGTAAATTGAACGGGGACGGGTTCTGCCATAGACGACAGAGTAGGATTCAGCATGAGATGCTCTGTATTTAAGCAAACTTGACAGGGCTTCGATTTTAGGGAGTTCTAAGTCTAGGCGAAAAACAACCCATGGTGTCTCTAAAAAGACTGGCACGCTTACAACAGGAATATGTACGAGCTGGTATTGGTCATACTCCATATACGTCAGGAATGCATTGAATTATTCAATAATAGTACGAGAGGCCGACACCTATGGCAAAATGCCAAATCCAACTGAGAACAATCAATGTCAATTTCCCGCATTCTTGCTTTCATACAGAGAATGGTGTAGTCACATTAATGCCAAATAGAAAAGTCTTATAATTCCAGCAACTCATGCCTTCAAATCTGGCACCTGCTGCGTCACACAGTGAATAACACCACCGGAAAGAGGGATGGCCCTAAGACGGACCTGCCGGACTACTCTATCCGGCATCAGAGCCTGGATAGTCTCCTTCGCTCTGCGGTCGTACTCCTCCACGCCGAACTTCGGCATGATGAGCCCTCCATTGCAAAAATAGAAATTGAGATAACTGGCGACAAACTCATCATCGTCCGCAATGGGCAGAAGCTTCGGATGTGGCTCATCGATAGCATGGATTTCGAGCTTCCTCCCTCGGGCATCCGTCTCCCGCTTCAGAACATCGAGGATCTCATGGGACAATGGCAGCCATTCTTCCGGAGCCTCAGGATGATGACGCGACCAAAGGACCACTCCAGGCCGCACGAAACGCACCTCAGCGTCGAGATGCGCATCGGTAATATCAAGCCACTTCCGGCCGGGACACCAGAGCACCTTCTTGACACCTAGTAGACGGCACAGTTCGGCCTCGATCTCATCGCGGGACTGGCCCGGGTTACGTTCATTGCACACCATGCAACTCTCAGAAATGATCAGAGTGCCGTCCCCGTCGACCACCAACGCGCCACCCTCTGCGCGAATGCGAGGTACAACCTGTCGGACAGGGGACGGCAGGACATCTGCCGCAATCACATTACGGGCAAATGCAGTATTCTCGCGTAACTCTTCTTCCGTCATGGCAGGCGGGCCGTATATGTAATCATCCCGGTCTTCCATGCCAGTCCAGCCGTTCTTGTTGCCCCATTCATTGAACTCGAAACTGATGGCCAGGCGTTGATTTGGATCAAGCTCACCCGTAGCATCATGGACATACACCGGGCCTGTATCGCGCACCCAGCAATGGTTTATAGCTATTGGGACAATAGTTACGCGCTGGGGGTCGGTGAGCTTGTGGTTGACAAGAGCCTGGGCGGCCGGAACATCCTCCGGGCGTGCGTGGAGTCGGACCGGCTCAAACTCTGATATGGCCGCGGCGAGGTCGACGATTTCGTTGCAGAGATCGGTGTAGATAAGTTCAGAAGAAGAGGACTTTGATGGGAAACCGAGGATTGTGGCAATATGAGGATGCCATTCAGGCGGGAAAACAAACCGGCCACCCTCCAAAGGAGCATTGGACCGAATAGTCATTATGGATGGAATAGGTGGGGTGGTAGCTCAATGACTTGGAGGGAAAAACGATTATGGATAGTGTGGTGATTTTATATCGGGTTTTGGTTTGCGGTTCTTTGGTCTCTGCCTTGGAGACTTGATGGATCTTATGCTGTATATGACAATGCATAAAGCATGCATGCTGACGCATTACGTGGCGAAATGTACGTGTTTTAATGCGAGGGAAAAGAATCTTGTTCGCTCTAGTGGTACTCTGCTATTCCTATGGTGTTTGGAGAGTCTCGCATCAGCCTCCACAGCCTCCACAACCCAAAGAGAAACAGTGCCATTTACCTCCCTTTTCCAAAACAAAAAAAAAGAAAGAAAAGACGAAGGGAAAACAATAAAATAAAGCGGTTAGCGGGATTAAATCACCCTCAAACGTCGACCAGGGTGCAAAATCTGTCTGTCAGGCTATTCAATGTCTCCCGCAATCGGTCCATGGCTGAGGAAGAACATGGGCAGGATCGTGACACCTGCAATTGCCCCCAGCGTCCACATAGTAACAGTCCAGCCAAAAATTTCGAACAGTCTCTGTCCTATTATTGGACCGACAGCGAGACCGGCATTATTAGCCATAGACTGCAACCCAAATGCCTGCGCTACTGCCCCTTGCTCGCCAAATATTCCAGGAGTCTGCCCCTCTAAGTCATCTAGGACCAACTGTGTCTCCAGGTAGAGAGCTGGCTGTCCCAGGTCACCAGCAAACCCGCACAGTGCCATCAATACCCCCAGAAGCAACTTGTGCGATAGGGTATTATCTTTGACAAACTGGAGGCACACAAGGGAAGGTGCATACAATAGATAGCCCAGCACTGTCATTATACGCACCCCAAAACGGTCACAAAGCCTCCCTAAAATGGAATCAATTAGTTTGATGTGCATTAAACTTCTAAATTCAATATCACATATTGTGAACGTACCGAAAAAAGGCTCCAAAAGTGCTGGGGTAGCCATCGCGATAAAGATTAAGCCCGCAGCTAATGTGCCCCAGCCAAATGTTTTCTCAACAAATATGGGGATTATCTGTTGCGTAATGAGTGTGCCAACTTCCCATTCTTCCGTGAAATTCAGACATACCGCGTCAAATGCACCGACGATCAGGCCATCCACTGCTAGCGCCCACAGTGTGAACAACACTCGATGCTGCTTGAGTAAGATTAGGCTACCATTCATATTCCCGCGATTATAACTGGAATCGTCATTGCCAATTATTGGAATTGGAGCCCCATGCTCTGGTTTTGTCTGGACCGCGGTAGTTGTGGAGACATGCTCTTCGGCATGGCCAGTCCGCCTTGAACGACTTTTCTCTACCACAACTAATCGTAACATGGAATCTACCGTGATGACGGCGAATCCTAATGCGCATACAGCGTAAAAACCCCTTTCCTGGTAAAGAAGTCCACCAAGGAACGGGCTGCCTATCAATCCGATCATGCTTGCCGTTCCAAAGTAGCCCAACGCCTCACCTAATTGGTCTTGGCCAATTCTATCCCTGAGAAGAGCCAGTCCTGCGACATCTACCATGGCAGACGCGATTCCTTGGACGACCCTTCCAATAACAAAGACAGTTGTAGATTGTGCGGTTGTGAAAATCGCCATTGCTCCTGCTAGTATAAGTATACCGGCCAGGAAAGGCAGCTGGCGTTTCCTAGAACGGTCGACCACATATCCTATGATTGGACATGCAAAAAAAGCTGTACCAGTTTCGCTTGTCAACATGATGCTGGTCCAGAAAGCCTCTGGTTGTTAACATATTTCAGCAGCCACCTTCATACAGACGAGCTCTTATCCACTCACTCTTGTCCGGTGAGACCCTAGCCCGGTTCACAAGGATAGTAGGCATTATAGGAATAATCTTAGAGGAATTGAGCAAAAGCACCAGCATTAGACAACAAGTAACATACCATTCCGTATAAGAACAGCGTCTAGACATGCATAAGCACAACCTGCCATGACAACAGAGACTTGTGATTCTTGGACTCACAGTGAAATATGATACTGACACCACAAGGATGATAAACCAGCGGGAAGAGCGCCATGCGCAAGCCAAAGTTCCTCCCTCACTCTCAGTTGTTCTCATATTTGTGGTCATAGTAGTTTAGCGTGTATTGGCTTAATTGGTATAAGCTGTTGATAAACAATCAATCCAACAGAGGCACCGTCCTCATGATGATATTTATTACACTTGGTCATAATGGAATTTGTCCCACGCGTCGAATAATCTCTACTCAAATGTCCATTTACAGGGCCCAAGAATTTCAACTCTCTCCCCTTGCATGTCAGCCTGCATTACAGCAGCCCCCGGCCATTAGCCCCCTTGCCTCCAGACTTAGCGGAGGAAGATGAAAGGAAGGTTTACAAAATAACAAAACGAAGCCATGAGAATGTGTCCAACATTTGCACCCTTGCAGCTAATAGGCGCCCAGTCAGCCGTGAGCTAGTAATTATTGCAGCTGTTAGTATAATCAATGCAGGCCTCTCATTCTAGCACAGTCACCGCCAACCTCCTGGGCAAGTATTCCATGCAAGGGTAAATAACGCGAATACTAGGGTCTAAAAAGAACTGTAGATTGACCAGGCATACCACTATGGACACTATGGTTATAAAAAAAGATCTGATTTCTCCTTTCTATCAAAGGTACCGCAACAATTCATCAGACTGCAATAATCTTGTTTCTTCTAAAATAGCAGAGAATGCCGAATCCCGTTGACTTGGCTATTGAATCCCATCTTGCCAGCTTCAACCAAAGTGAATTGAACGCTGTTCAAGAGGACCCTTTCTTTGTAATGGACCTGGGTGAAGTCATCCGACAACATCAGCGATGGAGACGACACTTGCCCAATGTCCATCCTTTTTACGGTATGCTGCGACTACGTTCACTGGAAAGTCTAGCTGACTGTTTTCTACTATAGCCGTGAAATGCAATTCTGACCCAACACTACTCCGACTGCTCGCAGAACAAGGCACCGGATTCGATTGCGCCTCTATAGGAGAAATGCGTAGCGTCCTTAGTCTGGGGGTTGATCCGTCCCGCATTATTTTCGCTAATCCGTGTAAGAGTGCATTGTCACTGGTATTCGCTCAGATGTCAGGCGTGAACTTGGCTACATTTGACAACCTAGATGAGCTTGACTCAATCAAGACTTATCACCCAGATTGCCGACTTGTTCTTCGGATATTCGCCTGCGACGATGATGCCCTTTTGAATCTAAGCCAAAAGTTTGGCGCCCCAGAGGGGTCTCTGCTACGTTTGCTAGAACGAGCTCGCGAACTCGATCTTAATGTAACTGGAGTCAGCTTCCACGTCGGTATGCCGCGGAAAAATTGATCACGGTTGGCGCATGGTATTAACAATATATCCTTTAGGCACTGGTGCGTGCAATGCAGCTCCCTATGTTATGGCCATCCAAAATGCCAAGGTTGTATTTGAACAGGCCAAGAGATTAGGATATGATATGAATCTCTTGGATATTGGTGGTGGCTTTCAGGATCACAACTTTGAGCAAATCGCATGCCACGTGGCAGTGGCGTTGAATGATGGGCTGCCACGGGACATCCGAATCATTGCAGAACCAGGCCGCTATTATGTACGCACAGCCTATACCCTAGTGTGCAAAGTTATCTCCCGTCGGCGGCAGATTAGTGACCCGGCGAACTTGGAACCAGACATGCTGTACCAAAATGACGGTGTCTACGGGAGCTTCATGAACGTTTTAATCGAGAAAGAGAGGTTACAGCCGTCTTTAATCCCGGGCAGTCGGCACTTACACCAGCACGCCTCAAAGCGCCGATCAGGGCAGCATTGCTATTCGATTTGGGGCCCGACATGTGACAGCATTGACTGTGTCACAAAGCAGACAGTTTTCGACTCTGAGGTCAATGTGGGCGACTGGCTAAAGTACAGCAATATGGGTGGTAGGTCCTCCTTTCGCATAAGCTAACGGGCAAACACTAATCCACAATTCGATAAAGCATATACTCTTGCCACTGCTACACAGTTTAATGGGTTTCCCATACCGCAGGTTGCAATCCACATCAACAGTGAATCGCAAGGTCAAACAAAAGAATTTGTGTCTTCTGGCTTTGCTCAGCCATTTGAAAAAGTATATATGGAATCGGTTACCATATGAATTATTTAGCGGCTGCCGAAGGCATAAGCCATAGCATTATATCTTATTTGGATAGGAATAATGGTTGTTTAAATGAATTTTGTTATAGCTGTTTGATGTTTGGGTAGTGAGTTTATTATGTTTCTGGGGGAGGTAAATTTTGTGAATCTAAGTTGTTGTCCATGTGTTTTCATCAAGTCGAAACCCCAATGTTTGAGGGCATGGTTGCTCTAGTGGTTATGGGCCTATGTATAGTATAATCAGCTTGTTAAATATACTCCAACTGGTATCCTTACCAAGCGCCTCCCACATCTTCCCGGTATGGGACTGTGGGTGCAAACGAGTCCTTGCATGTCTCCAACATTTCAACAAAGTTTCTGAAGCCCTCTTTTTTAATACCCTAACTAACTGGGGGTGAACCAAGAAGCCCTTCTTAGCTCTAGGGTGCGGCGCGGGAAGGGCGCTGATTAGCTAAAATTTTCTAGGGTTGAACCTTCTTAGCTCCAACAACTAACGCTTATTAGCTCTAACTTTGTTTTACTCTGTCTCCTTCTATAGAAAAGCTATAGCTTTATAACTTAGCCAGTTGGTAAATTTGCTATTTAACTCTATCTTAGTATATTTTTAGAGTAATTACTGTGCCGAATCTTCCGTAGTAGTAGTTTAAAAACAATTACTTCTATCCTGCTAAATTTAGTAGGGAGCCGTCTGTTAACAACGATCGCTCTCTGTATAATATATATATATCTTCAGGGGCTACTAAAGTAACTCTCCCTATCTCTTTTTTTTAATCTTAATAACTCTAGATTTTTCTTATTATAAAGACTGAGCTCTTCTAGGTACTTTATCTATTTAAAGTTCTTATCTACTAATACTGTTAGTATAGAGTATAATTCTCTGAGATTAAGAAGCATCTGAAAATACAGCACCAACTACCCTATATTAATATAGTTTCTATTATCTAAGCTATTCGGTAGTGGCCCTAAATTAAGCAGGAAACTACTATTATTAGAGTGGGCATGGTTAACCGTTTTATTAACCGTTTTAGCTAAAACGGTTAAAAAATACCGCCTCAGGTATAAAGATTATAGCTTGAATATTAGGTATAATTAAATTTAAAATTGAAATTTATATATATATAAAATTATTACATAATATATATAGAAGTATATTATGTAATACATCTATAATACCGTATAATACTCAACGGTTAAAAAATACACTATAAAAAAGGGTCTAAAATTGATTAGTCATGTATTATTTACTAATATAGCGTAATAGTGGTATTTTATTACGTAATTAAATATTGTATAGCACGTGATATCTAATTTCTTTATTATAACACTATATTACATAATTTTAGTGGGTTAAATACATATTATAAAAGCTCGGTAATTAACCTGAACGGTTAAGAATGCCCACTCTAACTATTATTTAGATTTTGACTATTTTAAATAACCCGCTTCTAATACTGCTATATTACTTTAATAGCTTACTCTACTACCGTGGATTTAATCCATACTTATATATTATAACGACGCTTAAATCGCTGCGGACTTACTAGCATACTATCTACTAATAGTATTAACAACTCTGTCGCGGCCGACTGCCGCCTATTAAATAGGCTCGCAGCGAGGCTGAGCTACAGTAATTATACTAGACAGTATTATAGTAGTAAGTATTTTCTAGCGGCCGGGGATCTTACTATATCTATATTCGGTTCTCCTACGGCTGACAGTCGCCCTTACTAGCGTCCGATTAGGCGTAGCAAGTAGTTAATACAGTAATTTAAGTATAAGAGATAGCGGAGCGGGCGCAGACCTACTAGCTAATTTAATCTAATACTATTACTAACGCTAACCCGTAGCTATAGTTTATATAGTAAGCAGTGTATTTACATAATATTTCTTTTAATAATTTACTACAGAGCGTGACCGCGTCTAATCCCGCAGATTTAGCCTAAAGACAAGATTCTGTCTAAAGACAATATTATAATAGTAAGATATCAGAGAAAAAGATAATTTAATCTTACTGCTATTAACGCGGCCTGCCCCCGTCTAATAAACTTATAAATTCTATTAAGACAGCTATTTAGGCGCTGTAAAAGATAGTCGACTAGTTAGTATAAAAGAGTTAGCGGACAGTACAGCACTGCGAATTAATAATTTAGATAAAGACAATGCGTACGCAGTAGAAAAAGCTGCTGTACTATCCGCTGCTAGTATATATAGATAAAAAGAGTATTTAGCAGCACGTGTATCTATAGTAGTAAATACTAATATTTTTTATATGTATGTAGGCGCTGTATAAGTAGAAAAGCTTTATATACGATTTTACGCTGCGATAATAATAGAAATAGATATAACTATAAATAGCGGTGTAGATAGCGGATGTAATTATAACAGCGGAGAAAAAATTATAACTATAGATTATAACAGCGTGTAAGTAGGCGTATCTAGAGTTCTATGTAAAGCTACTAAACTAGCAGTAGCGTAGCTATAAGTATAAAAATACGCTAGTATATATTATAGCAGTACTAGGGTATAGCAAGAGAAAATAACAGACAGCTAACAGCTACCCACTAATTCTATTTAAAGTAATTAAGATTACACGGTTTTTTATTATATAAAAGATATTATAGTTAGATCCGGCGGCGCGGCAGATTATTAATTTATAGCAAAAGAAGTAGACAGATATACTATAGGCGCTAACTAATACTAATAATAAATTTAAAAATTTAGATAAGGGGTATGTTAGTAGGTTACTATTAAGTAGTTCTGTTCTATTATCTATAGATAGTAATTTTCTATTATTTTAGACTGATTATTTCCGCGAGTCGTTAAGTAAATAGTTAAATAAGAGATTTAGAACGCCGATTTATCTAATTAGAAGTTTTTCTATACTCTGTCGGCCTATATTTAGCGGTGCTCTGTTTCATAGCGCCCTATCTAGTAGCTTTATATTAACTACCTTACGCGGAAGTAGGCGGATATTTTCTAAGTAGATTAAGTAGATAGTATAGCGGTTTATAATCTAGAAGATATAGAGGCTAATATAGACGCTGCTTAACTAGCGCACGTACAGGCTAAAGATCTACTTTAATAGTATAGTATCAGGGTACGTAGCATAGATAAAAGCGGACAAAATCTTATATAAAAATATCTAGTTTATAATAGAGGGGTTTCGGGGGTTTATATATAGATTAGTAGAGATAATAAAAGATTTATTATATAAGCTACTCTTTACTAAGATATTCCCAGCGATTTTATAGGCGAAACTGTATAATAATTCTATAAAAAATATATTTAGCTAGAGCTTTCTCCGCGATAGCCGTATACTATAGCTAGTAGTAGAACAGTAGTAGCTAATTAATTAAGTATAGAACAATCTGTAGTTATTAGAGTGGGCATGGTTAACCGTTTTATTAACCGTTTTAGCTAAAACGGTTAAAAAATACCGCCTTAGGTATAAAGATTATAGCTTGAATATTAGGTATAATTAAATTTAAAATTGAAATTTATATATATATAATATTATTATATAATATATATAGAACTATATTAAGTAATACATCTATAATACCGTATAATACTCAACGGTTAAAAAATACACTATAAAAAAGGGTCTAAAATTGATTAGTCATGTATTATTTACTAATATAGCGTAATAGTGGTATTTTATTACGTAATTAAATATTTTATGGCACGTGATATCTAATTTCTTTATTATAACACTATATTACATAATTTTAGTGGGTTAAATACATATTATAAAAGCTCGGTAATTAACCTGAACGGTTAAGAATGCCCACTCTAGTAGTTATAGTATAAGTTTATTTATATCTACTATTTCTACCTCTGCTAAATACAGCGGTATTTTAACTATATTGCTTAATTTAAAGAAAAATTAGTAGTGCTTGTATATATAGTCGCTAGATAATCCGGACGAATTTTTAAGTTACTTAGTTTATAGTATATTAATATAGATTATAACCGTCGGCGTAATATATATATTAAAAATAGTATAGTTATACTAGTTAGTGTATATTACAAGGGCTTCTACGCTAGTAATAATATAAAGATTATTTATTAATATTTGCTCTAGAAGATTAGTGCGCTATTTATATAATCTCTAACTAGTAGTACTATTTATTTAACAGCTTAAGATTATTAGATTTCTCTCTACGGTTAAGGCGTATAATAGCTTAAATAGATTTAGAGCCGGATTTTTAACTATAGTTCTATAATCTATTTTAATTATAGTTAAAATTCTGTCTGCTCTTAATCTCTTATCTAAAGATAGCTTATTTTAAAATAAGATTTTAACCGGAGTTAATCTCGCGCGGTTAGCTCCGATTAAAAATCTCTTTATTTTGTTTAGAGGCGAATTATTCTACTTATCTATAGGCTATATATCGCGGAATATATTATATCTTTAGAGAGCTAATCCCGGTATCGGCCGACTATAGATATTAGATTAGTTCTGTTAGATATTATAATAGGAGATATAGACGCAGCTAAGCCGAAAAGATATTAAGATTCTAGTATACTAGAATATTACCGTCGAGATTAGTCGGCGGTTTCTACGGCTAGGCAGCTAGTTTATCTATAATTAGCAGAATAAGTAGAAGACAGAGCTTGTAAAAATCAATACTAATAATAAAAATTATCTAAACTCTGTATAGTAGGTTAGCTATATTACTAATCTTTAGATAATATACTTATTTTATCTTGCGAGGTTAATCTATAGACGCTAGATAATAGAAATAGCGGGGATAATAACATACTAATAAACTATATTTCGGCTTAGCAGTAAGAACTAGTACTAATTTCTTAGGTTTATATCAGTGTAGGTGACGGAGCTGCCTATAGTATTAAATAAATATAAATAGACGCTGTAAGAGAAGATAGTAGGCGAGTATTAGGTATAGTAGCTACACTAATTAAACTAGGCTAATATAACGTAGGCGGCGCGGTAGATAATAAGATAATAGAATCTCTAGCTACGGGGGGTGTAGGGCCTAGCGCTATAAGCTATTTAGAATAAAAAAAGCCCTGTAGTTGCGATAATACTAATAAATAGAGATAAGAGTA